GTACGTTCCTTTATAAAAAATATAATCACGAGGGGTTATAGCATTTCATCAGCTTCCTGAAGCAAGATAGAAATAGTATCAAAATGTAAAAAACATTTACAGTACTTTAAAGAACAACGCTGACTTTTAATAACCTTTATTTTGTAAAAATAATATTCTGAGTCAGCAAGAATGAAAAATAAGTTGATAATTTTTGCTAAACCAGGATTTTGCCTAATAGTCTTATCTGTGGTATTTTACTAATTAATACACAATACTTGTTTGTACATACATATGAGAATGTCTGCATGTCTGTGATCATGTGCACAGAAACGTTTAATGATTTTGCCAATGTTGGGATTTCATTGAGCAACAGCAGGGAATTCTCTCCAGTGTTATTTTAACCATAGCTTTCATTTTGCCTGTTTCAGAAATTCTAATAAGCCCCCATATGCAGTGATACCTTCAAATATGAAACAAATGAGAAAAGGATGTAATTAACACAGAACATCATTTCTATTATTCAAATACTACAGAGCAAAAGCATTAAATGACATCAAATACAAAGATAATACCATCCTTGAAACAGCCGAGTTATGCAAATTATTCGTCATCTTGAAATCAATTGAAGAATACATGAATAAAAACTATATTAATTTGCAATGTTCTGTTTCATTTTTGATCTGTCGAGTGTGAACAAGTTATTTATCAATCCTCTTATAAAGCCATTAATAGAGCTAAATGCCAGGTATGTTGCTGGAGCATTAAGGATTTAAGCTCAACATGTACTTTTAGCATTTTCTGCATGCCGTCCTGCTTTGTTGTACCTGACTTATAAAATATCAAGTTTTTGTCAAAACTGAACAAATGAACGAAAGTGGAAACATATTGAATATGAAGTAGATCTCATTGAGATGGACAACCTTACAATTTGTCAATGAATTGAAATTAGATGTGCTAGCTTGAGTACACATATATTTATCAATGTTAAAATTATAGGCCGGAAAATTTCGTTTTCAATCAAACAAAACAATCTGCACTCGATGACAGCAATAATTTGTAAAGTAGTCATTAAGGCGGCATTAAGCCTAAAATGTACTTATATATTTATTTATAATTTGATTTGTACTGAAAGCATCTATTTGTGTGGTCAACTGAAAGTATAGCTTACTTACAATACATGTACAGATTTTTTGATTTAAATTATGATATATCAGAGATGAAAACATTTTCACGAACATATGCATTTTTGATTCACAAAAAGCAAAACAGAATTACAGCTTTACAAATAGTTTTGCATCTACAAATCATGAAACAACCGGTATTTATTTAAAACAATATATTGAATTCACAATGTCACAATTGAATACATGTACTCGTCAAATATTTCTGTTTAGCACCAAAGTATAATAAATAGTTTCTAAAACAGAAACTGACAGTAAGGCTTGGATCTTTTGTAATACATGCGGAGTAGGAAATGAATAAATATATGGGAATTAAAGCAATAAGAAAGCCATTGTTGATTGGGGTTATTAGGATGACATAGGTTGATCCAAGGACAGATATTAAGGAGGTACACGTGTCCTGCTGACTTATCTGTCTTCATTCAAGCTTTCGACATTGATTATACTTTGCATTTACATGTAATGCCATATTGCTAAATAATTTTTTAACTTGAGCTCCTTTCTCACCCATTCACCCGGGGTAATTGATCAAATTTCATTCTATTAATCAATTTTTCTGAATTTTGTTTTTATAACCTTGTTATGTAACCATAATAAAAAATAATAAAGTCATCTGCTAAAATATCTAAACAATTATCATCAAACTGATGTTAACTGATGTGATAATGAATGAATATATATTTATATTAAATAAAAAATGATTATGACACATCAATTTAGAAAATACCAGCTGCATAAGGCCAGTGCTTTTGAATTACCCATACACATGTACATTTGATTGGATGGATGCCCAGGCTGTTTCATTATTTGCTATACTTGGTTTCCCTTTTGGAACTCATAGCATAAGGTTGCATTTTTGGAATGGAACTTTTTATTTTAAACTTGTTTTCATTCCCAGACATTCTAAAATCCATGTCAAGATGGCGACCTTCCAGCTTAATGCTTCCAGAGATTCTTACCATATACTAATATAAACTATATGAAAATGTTATGTACTGAAGGCCTGCATACCACCATTCCCTTCCAAAAATTTATTCTGATCTGTCCCATCCTTTCCAAATACATGTGGATGCACTTATCAACATCTTTTCTACTCAGGTCACCATTATTGAACTTGATTATATACTCATCCCTTTATTCATTTCAACAGATGGATGTTATACAGTTAACATCATAAAAGAGTCTATCAGTCTAATTGATTTACTGAAAATTTGAGATGTCAGATCTAAAAGTGCAAATCGGTGTCACATTTGAGAGTACAAATGGATAGCAGATCAGAGAGTATTAATTGATGTCAGATAAAAAACACAAAACAAAACATACAAAAAATAACAATGGATCAACTCATAACAAACCAAAAAACAAGCTAAAACATCCGCGCTTGATTTTCAGAGGAAAATCAGAAGGAAAAAACATAAGTGGTTTCAATATGGGGCCTCGGGCAATCTAGAGCAACACGCAATAGTATGATATTGTAATAGCTATTCAGAGATATTAATTTGCTTTGTTTACAGATAACCTCACCTGGGAACCATTAATTAATTATATTCAACATATCTGCATGCAAGGAAATGATTGTTCAAAAGTTGATGACTGTTTTCGCTTAATCGTGGGAATACTAAATGCATTGATCATTTTTCCTGCATCACAGTATTTTTCATGCGAATGGATCAAACATAAATTCCCAACAATTGAAATGCCATTCTTCGATTAAACCTTTTTTGATCAGTACAGTTTACAACTAGCGATACAGTTTTTAAAAAATTACAACACGTTATAGTTCTTTAGACCTTCAATAAATATTACTTTTGTTCTTCAATTAGCATCCATACATCCGAATAAGCAATTACTGGAGATAGTATAATTTGTCAGAATCATTGACTGGCGGTCGACATCCAAATTTGCATTAAAGGTCAACCTGAATATGACAGAGATATATAAGACCTTACCTTACATGCATACTTTTTTCATGCTCATTGGGCTTATTTTCACATCATTCAACATTACTACGTAGAAAATAAATCTTGTTTTCACTTTTTTATTTTCTTATTTTACATCTCAAGATCAGGGTCGAGAGTTTGTCTTAAGATATCTTAAGAAATTTCACATTGATAGAACCAGTCAGTTGCTTTATTTGATTTTGTCATTCTTGCAGTGTCGATAAGAATTACAAATGGTATAAGAGATTATTTCTCAGAGAATCTTATTACGAAACGTCTAACATAAATAAGACCAATAATACTGCCAAATACCCCAGATAATTCCTGATAAACTACAACCACCAACTAAAAATACTGCAAAAGATGAAGCTAAGAGTTTAGTTTCAGCAGTTTATTTGTTTCCAGATCAAGTCTATCAAGGGCATATCACATTTTACTGACCAAGACGTGTAATCAATACTAATTCAACCAACACAATATCAATATCTCCTTTAATATCTGTATAAGAGATTGGTCAGGTTGAGTGATTTATGCTATTTTTAACCAAAAATGAGATTTTTAAAAAAATGAATGTTCTCAAAATTTTATTTCATGATTTGGGGTAACATAATGATTCAGATTATGACTGTTGTCAACCCCAAGCCTCCATATGCCGAAAGCAGATTCTATTTCAACCAGATCTTTGCAAAGATAATTTTGGAAAAATGTCTTTAATATTTTTTTTATACATTCATGTACTGTTTATATTTATCATATTTTGATAACAGCTAATAAACAACCACACGGCCTTTAAGAAGATGCTGAGTGATATATCTGTAATATACAATAACAGATATTGGGTTTCCATGAATATCCTAATAAATTATCCATAAAGAAATGAAAGGAAACCTGAGACTTAATCATGTGTTTATTTACTAAAGCATCATCATATTCTATTTTCATACATTATTTATGACTGATTTACAAGAAGAATGTGAAACCATGTTTTCATCACACGGATTAATACAACTATTTATGCAGACATTTTTACATGAATTTTTTATTCATGATCTTATGTCCTAAATATTCCTTGGATATTATCAATAGATCTCCTAATATCTGCTTTGTCAATTCAGCTCATTGAATTTGACTCTCAAATAATTACATAAATCTTAAAAATACTTCTGGCTTGAAATGAAAATATAGAATAGATCACACAGAAATGGTTCGGCATTTTGATAAATTCTAACATAAAAGGGAACTTCTAAGTTTATTTTTTAAAATGTTCTAATTATGGTTCCTTCAATTACAGGAAATGCTTCAAATGAGCTAACCTTTAAACGTAAGGTATCACTCATGTTCAATGCCGATTGTACTCTACAAATAGCCATTCCTGGCAACAGCTAATACATCCCATAAGATTATATAACACCTAGATCATTAAGAGAAGTTGAATATATCTCATTTCTGTCCCCATTCATTGAATTAATGACTATTATTGACTTGCCTGTATCTAGTATCTGCCCATCTACTGTTCAATTATGAATGTAAATATACAGTGTATAGTCTAATATACTTCAATTAATGCACAGTATTTTATCATTACTCGAGCCATTTCATAAAACTCTGAAAAGTAATACAAGTTGATTTTTGTTATTGTAAGTTGGAATTGAAGCAGCTGGGGAACAATATTGCAGTCTCATATTTTTTCCATAAATGTATATATGGATGTTTTAGTACATCCTCAAGGCAATGAGGATGTTATGAATATATTTCAGATTTATTGACAGCAATAATAAACAATTCACATTTTGCACTTAATTTTCCAGAGAATGCATAAAAATACAATTTAGCCTGCCAAAAATGTCTTGTTTTTAATCTGGAATATTACAAAGATAGAGGGGGTAAATGGCCTTACCTGAGCCTTATGGATCAGCGCAGGAAGTGACGTCCTACGACCAGCTCGATGACTGAACGAGTGACTTGACGAGGAGCTGGATCGACGTCGCTTTATGACGGGTATTTTTCCATCTGGCGTCATAAAACTGTTGACAGGAGGCTTAAATACTGTCTCCATATATTTAGCACAAATGACTCCAGTTATTCCACCGATGTACGCCACGAAAGGTCGTAAAACTTGTGGTATATCTTGTAGAGTGGTGCACGCTAGGAATCGTACAAAGCTAACAAATATGATCATAAAAGTGCTCTGCATTGTTTCTAGCGAGGAAAATATACTGGCGACACTAACCGTCACCAGTACTGTTATAACAAGAAATGGTTGTGTAATGTAGTCTTCTCCGCTTCCCATACATTGGCCGAAGAATTCGCCGACACAACAGGCGCAAAATAATAAATAAGCACTTGTCGTACTCCATGTCTTTCGAAAATAAATAGTCACCCAATAAAACCCACATATTATACTAAATATAGGTACCAAAAGAGCACATAAACGGTGAAACAATTGTCCTAAATCACTTCTTAAAATGCTCACAACAACCACACTTGTAAAAATAGTCAGAAGTCCAAAAACAATCTTGGATTGTTTAGATGAAAACTTCATGGTATTTAGTCCAAGCCAGCTGAAAATCACGCTATAGTTGCCCTGTTCCAATGGCTTTACGAACACTTGCACATAACCGTTATTTTCGTTATCATCTTCTCTATCTGTGATGCTTCTTGACGTCCGAGGTGTTCTTGACAGACTAGCCATCTTGATCCTACACACAACTTACCGCGATGCAGTCTGGGAAAATAATTTTAAATTAAATCCAGGGGGCTAAATCTTCACCACTTTACTGCCGCCTATAAATAAATATAGGAATGATTTTCATGTTCAGATGCATGTAAGTAATTTCATTGTTGCAGCAGAACCCAGGAGTATTATATTGAATTATCTAATGGATTAAAGCAGAGTGACATCATACAGTAGCATATGACACATAACACAACAACAAAGCACATTATTATCCGCAGCGGCATATTTCCCTATTCTCATGTATTTTTCCCGGTATTTCTTATCCATATAATATGTTGTGCATGAGTAAATGCCTCAGGTATGAATAATTGACTCACATCAGACATGTTCAAATTGCATCACAACTATTGGTAGCAAGGCATTATTTCTAAATTCATGCTATATCGTTCACATTTTCAATAGATGTGAGACCCGGTCCATGATAGTGTTGTCGCGATGTGCCTTAATCCTACATTGATGCATCACCAAATTTTAAGAGTAAACATCAAGGTATATCGCAATTGTATTGTATATTTATTTATCCTAATTAATAGAGTTACAATAGTTGAAATACATTAAAGTATAATATAAATGCAAACAATTATATAATTTAAAACATGTAGAATAAGTGAATAAATGAAATAAGAAATTTATAGTTAATAGACACCGCTATAGTAGTGATGCAATGTACATTGCTATAACGGAGTGTGAAAATAAATTGGCAGTCATTGGTTTATTTTGACAAGCTAAAACATTTTTAAAGTGAAATCATATGATCAGAGAACATTGGAAAATGAACAAAGGGATGAGAAAGTTAGACATTTGTGTGAAAATGATATACATGTAGGAAAAGGTGGCTCTCTGAATGTACGTAATATAGGATTGCCATTTAGCATGATCTTTTTTAGGTTTGCCTCACTTCCCATGGGTGTAGGACTATATTTTGAGATGTGCGCACACTCGGGGATGCCTGATTGCGTGGCCGAAGGCCGCGCATCGTGGGGGGTCCAGGGGTATGCTCCCCCACAATTTTTTTTTTCAAGGCTGTTATTTAATGGAATCTTAACGTTTTTATCAACTTTAAATGTTGACAATGGTAAACATACAGATACCGTACGAAGCATCAATAAAATCGCAAATAAATTAATGCATTTTAACACAATTTTAATTTTTTCAAATTCATTTGGTACGCCTGTGTGTATTTTGCGTAATGGGCGCTATGCCCATACTTCCCATCAATCCGATTCAACCGTTCATGTTTATTTCAGACATCGATGCATTCTCAGAATCACTCTTGGTGATGTACATCACGATATATTGATTAATTGCAACAAAACTAGTCCATTGTGCAACTACATATGTAAATTTAAAGAATGGTATTATTTGAAATAACAATTCTTGGCTAGCGTTCAAATCTTGAATCACTGAATGGATATCATTTTTATCCCTTTCAAGATAAAGAGAACACCGTGCCTAACCCGCATATTATGATTATCTACGAAAATGTACTTTTCAGTAAGTTGAAGATGAAATACATGTATCATGTGAAAATAATATTGACCCGAATAATGAGATCAGAACATCCTGAGATTCAAAATTCAAATAAATTTAGCATTTTTAGTGCAGTTGTAATTGTTCCTGTACTTTTTGGCATCATATAAGCACCATGGAAGGATATCAAAAACAAGAAATAATATTGTATGCCAATATACATCTAAGATCAATATTTGCAAGCGATATGACCTGCCATCTATACAAGTCATCCTTGACTTTATTTGATTTACGTCGCCAAATTCAGTTTTCATTTTTGTACTCCCCTGGCTTTTTCATCCGGGACTTTCAGTCAAAAGCAAATGAATGAAAAATTTGAAATGTTTATGGAGTGATGGTTTAGACAACATATTGATCTTAAATCAGGACAATAATTTTGAAGATGCCTTCTATGAATACAAAAGCAGCTTCTTTCACGATAGAATGTCACGATATTGCACAGGTTGTTGAGTTTTCTCCATTCGAATGGTCCAGCCAACTTTTGGCGATCGGGACGACATCTCGTGTTGCTGTTGTTAACTGCTCTCTGAAGGTACGTACAATGGGACAGCATCTTTTCCATTCAATCGAGGTTGGGCTTACTCACTTCGAGAGCCATGTTAGATTTTGAAACTTATGGCTCTCGAACGGTGACATGGACAGCTGAACAATAGTGACCTTTGAAACACGAATTGAGTCGATCAGCGCCTTACTTTTGTTCTCTAACTACAGTGCTGATATATAATAATTAAGGGTGCGTTTTCAAACTAAACAGAGTGCTCCTATCAAAATGAATTTGCCTACATACAGTGGGGATCATAAAGAATTGCAAAAGCTATGAAAATTACATGCTGTCGCACATGTAATAAATTCTTACCTCATTGTATTCAGTGCTCTATTTTCTCCGTCTAAGTAAGTCCAAATATAGTGGAATTTGTGTCCCTAATGACAAAAAAGAACTTCAAAAGTTGAAGTGGATATTCACATGTTATGCCGACTCTTCAAATGTTGAGGTGATTTTGTTGCCCGATTGCGCCGGAACGGAGGATTGGCTCCCAGAATGCAACATGACACGTGCCAGCTTTCAAAATGCTGTTCCGCCATTTTGAAACCTGTCATGAGTAAATACGGTAACTGATGTTGCATTCTGGGAGTCAACCGTCCTTGGATAACAAACATGGCAATTCATGAAAACATTCATTCGATTTGGTAGGGATTTATCCATTATTTGCAGGTATGAAGCTTTAGATTCATTTATTGTGCTACTTTAGTGAACGGGAATTATTTTTCTACCGCTTGGGAGAGTTTGAGACACGAAACTTGGAAATTAGCTCATTGTGACAACTTGTGAACGTTGAGTTTTATTTTTGTCCCCCACTGTACCCCTGAGACTCTTACCTGATAGATAGAATGCACAAATAAAACAAAAGTTTTGCTATTATAGGTAAAAAGTTCTCTTGAAATTTCGGAGTGATTTTACCTGTTAATTCTGTCCATGGTCCGCCATTTTTGCGGAAGTTACACTGAAACGCAAACTCCATGAAACGAAACGAAATCACTAGAAAAACATGGCACACATTGTGCGCATGTGCAGCAAAGTTTAGACCAATCAGATTATTTGATTATTTTGCGCACATGAATAATTTGCTTCTGAGCACTTACAAGCTTACCACAATAAACAAACCTGGCAGAGACTACCCTTAGCCTACTCCATTTTGGCGAAATTTCAGCTCAAACTCGTGACAAATGCATTATACATACGCTGGTGTGAAGCCTTGGAGACACTCATTTTGGTAAATATGATTTATGGGGTATACTTTTCTGCAGTTTGTGGGAGTTTGGAACATTAAATGTTAAAATTCAAGAAAATATGCCAATTAAACGACTGATCAATTAATATATACCAGCACTGTATGTCATACATCATTATCATCCTTCCGTGCAAGTATTGGAGCGCTGAAGTACTTGCTTTTCGATCAAGACTTGTTTTGTTAGTCGAGTGAGTGTTTTTTTCTGCCAAATTCCAATATGGCGTTTTCTGCTCGGACATTTTCGTAAATCTCAGGAGGTTGTCCGAACTCATTCTCAAAATTCATTTCGTTCGTTGCGTATCTCGCTCCTAGCAAACCGCCATATTGGAAATGGATCGAAAAAAACATTCACTCGACGAAGAATTTACAAGTCTTGATCGAAAAAGAAGTATTTCAGCGCCCCAATACTTGCACGTATTGATGATACCGATGGAAGACAAAGTTAGAGACCGAAAGTAAGCTACTGATCGATGCTGATCGACTCAATTCGTGTTTCAAGGGTCACTATTATTCAGCTGCCCAAGTGCGCCGTGGGAAAGCTATTACAGTATATCAAAATCCACATAGCTTTCACAGTAAGTAAGGTTGAGCCATTCAATCGAGGTTGGGCCATGCAGCCGAAGATAAGCCATACAACTGAATTTTGCCGATTCAATCTGACGGTGAATACCGAGTCTCTCTTTTTGACCAATTAGAGACGTCCTCTTCACATTCGTGGTACCCTCGGCCAACTTCGTTTGCAAATAAAATCTTTGGCAGTATCCGCCTTTTCTTGAGGTATCTTCGGTTGCAAGCCAAAAGTCGACACCCTACTTACAATAAGATTCACTGACTTAGCCCTAACATGATCTTTTTAGGTTTGCCTCACTTCCATCCATCCTCATAGCTCAACACATTTTCAGAATCATGTTCTGATAGAGAACAGTGACCCTCATTCTTTCATTGATGTCAGTTGATTATAGACCCAGTCAGGGTCATTTGTCAGATATCAATGAGCAAGGTGGAAAACATCATCCATAAGTAAGTTATGTGGAAGTGTCTGTAATGACCCATTGGCACTCATCATAGTAGCTGTAGTGCAAGGAGCCAGATACCTGAAAGTGAGTGTGCTAAATTTGATGACCGGTATTAAAATCGTGGAGGACTTGCCAAGACTGAAGCTCTACTGATTCAGCCATTAGGGTAGAATCACCTAATCCCGTCCAGTACCTAATGGCGTCCAACACAACCTAATGGCGTCCAACACAGCCTAATGGCAGCCAACACTACCTAATACCGTCCATAGGATATATTGATATATACACATATTTGTATTAGTATTAATGAATAAATTGACACATGTTGATATTTAGTTTCGTTTTAGAATCTATATCTACGTAAAAGGTTGATCGATTATAATTCATTGTTGATCGATTGGTCTTTCTTTCCAATTGGCGCCATATTTGAATGTGAGTATTTTATGTCTCCGTCTTTATATGATATATTATGCAAATCTGGAATGGAAAACTACATGAAGTTCATTTTAATTTGATATTGAATATTAATTCTTTTAAAAGATCAACGTAATAAACTTAAAAATTAATCAAAACCCTGACAATTTGTCTGAAAAGATTGACCGGTATTAGGAATTAAATTCAATATGAAAATTTGGGGATTCCCCTTTTTGGGGATTCCTCTTTTCATTGCACTGTGTACTTGAAGACGATTGTCGAAGTTGAATTATATTAAAAAATGAATTAATACACATGTGTAAAAGACCACATGTACGTGGACATTTATTACTTTTAGGTCAAAATGCCAAAATATTCCCGGGAAACACTGGAAGAGGCCGTGAAAGTCTACAGAGAAGGCCGGTTGACTCTGAGGCAAACGGCTGCCCGATATGCGATACCTAAGTCAACAATAAGTGATAACAAAATAGGGAAAACGGTGTATCCAAAGGCCGGTAGGCCCCCAGCTTTACCAGCTAATATTGAAAAAGAAATTGTACATAAAACTCAAAAGGCCGCCGCTATGGGGTTCGGAATTACCCGGGCACAATTATTCTACAAGACGGGAGAAATAGTGAAGACCATGGGTCTGCGAACTCCCTTCGTAAATGGGACCCCAGGAAATGTACGTCTAGCCTCTCTGTGAAATAACATCTAATATCTTAATATACACATTTTTTCCTCATTACCTGCACCTTTGAAATACAAATAATATTGACCCAAGTCTACTTTAAAGCTTTGTTTGGAGCTTACAAAAAAATTGTATTACACAAGCTAGGCCTACTGGTTATTTACATTTAGAAATCCATATATATTTTAATTACTTATAAACATAATGTATGTATATTTTGAATATCTGAAAATGTCATTAGTATACGATGCCTTGTTCCAACTTGCTTAATCATGGGGTACGTACCGCGTACACGCAGGGGGTCCGGTACAAAGCGGGGCTGATGTACTTTTAGGAAACTGATGTTTTCATCGTTTCAGAAAAGTTTCTAAATATTTTTAATATACAAGTTTACTAAAAGTACATCATCACCGTGTTGTACCAGACCCGTGTGTAACTGCCACGCTTAAAATGGTACATACCCCGTGTGAATAAATTATTATGTTGATCATTTAAACATGTTCGAGTAAATGTTGTTTATTTCGAACAATGCGTGCACGACTTTCACTTTTATCGGTTTATATAACACGTATAAATCTATTTTCAAGTCCATGATTACGTTTATGTCTATTCCATGTCTTGGGCATCTTGTTTGCGATATCGCCAAATCATTATTTATCATTGTTTATAACTATACTTTATATTAATAGCACTGGTGGCTTGGACTAAAAAAAAGGCATCCATCCCTTGTTATAAGAAAGAGCGAAGCACTATCAACGTCCAGGAGTAAGCTAATGAATGCAGACATCGTCAGTGGATATTTTGACAAATTAGCCAAACTTCTTGAGGAAAATCCGTCTCTTTTGACCCATCCCGAGCGTATCTGGAACATGGATGAGACTGGGTTTCAATTAGAACATAAACCCAGTAGTGTCATCAGCAAAAAAGGTTCTTAAAATAACAATTTTGCGAATGCTGAATAATTAGGAATTATGTTATTTGTTTAATTTCACCATTGAAATTGAGAGTTTTAGGTGAGTTGTCTATAGCCTTTGCAACGATATGAACGACATAGGCAACATTTGTAAGAATTTTTGTTATGTTTGGGTTATGAAAGTCGTATAACAACTAACCACATTTGAGTAACAAGCAGTATGGTTACTTAAAGTATACTCCATCTAATCTAAACGCTGTGAACACGATAATCAAAATGATGGTGGTCAATCTTTCCATTTATTATCAAATAGCGTATGCTTATGATTTTAAATCGAGAGTCGATCAATAATTAACATGAAAGGAAACAACGTGATTCATAATTAACCTGTTAATATATATACAATATATTATCCTACCTTGCCTTTGGTGATACATGTTATTTCAATCGTCCACTCCGGGCCTGTCTGTTTAAAACGGTGTTCATGAGGTCCATTGATTTCAGCTTTCAATATAAAGTTAAATACAGCGACTTGGTAACTTTATTTTAGTATAAATTGAACTACATCATGTCCAGAAACATATGCTTATCATTGATTTATTCCATACGAAAATGATTATACAATACATAGTTCATATTGTTTACCATGTTCACAGGTGTGAGAACACAACCTGGCAGAGTGGCAAACTCAAGAGAATCTTTAACAGTTGTTGCCACTGCGAATGCCATAGGACAACGTATGCCCCCGATGGTAATCGCAAAGGGTGTTTCCAAAAGAGCTCTGCAGAAATTTAATGAAGGTACATCGTGTTTAAAGAGAAAACATATATTGTCAGACTACCATAGTATTATGTGACATAGGTTTAATATTAATAGCCCACATTACCCTATTTATTTTTTAACTTAATTCACGTAGGCGTAATCACGAACTAATAATTTGTGTACCACCTAATTTATTAATTATCATGACTTATAAAACTTGAAGTATAAAAGGCCTGAAATCGAGATGTTTTTTCAGCCGATGCCCCTGCTAATACGTTCTTTGTGCATCAGAGAAAGGGTTGGATGGAGGATGTCCTCGGGGCGGGTTGGTTTGATCAGGTGTTCCTCCGTTACATTGGGCCAAGTAGACCACAACTTTTGATACTGGATGGCCACTCGTCTCACGAATCGTACGAGCTGATTGAACAGGCTGCTAAAGAGAATGTTATAATTCTCTGTCTTCCTGCACACACCACCCATTATTTACAGCCTTTAGACAGGACAGTATTTGGTCCGATGATGAGTGCATATAATAAAGCCTGCTCCCAATTCATGTCTGAAAATCCCATGAATGTAGTGAACAAAGAGAGTTTCTGTTTTTTGTTCAACAAAGCTTGGGAGAGTTCGTTCACGCCAAAGAATATCATAAGCGGATTCAAAGCATGTGGCATTTTTCCCCTAAACAAAAATGCTATCCCAAATGATGCCTACAGTACTGCAATGCCTTTTGCAGGTGATAACTTAGCAGATGGTCCCTCAGCTGTCATTCCTCCAGAAGCTCCGACCACGCCTGCAACTCCTACGGCTGTGCAAACATCCACCATGGCTAAGGATCACTCCCAGTCTTCAGAGGCTCTGTTAGAATCTCAGCTCGCTTTGGCAGGTTTATCAACACAGACAGCACTAACACCAAGTGCAACGCCCACAGTACTTACATCAACGCCAACAGCACTTACACCAAGTGCACCGTCCACAGCACTAACAGCAACGCCAACAGCAGTTACACCGTCATGTTCACAAAGTTCATGCAACACTTCTGCAGCCAGTGAGGCATCGACAGAAATTAGCGTTATAGAAGAGTTTGAGGTAGAATTGCCGCTGACAGCTTGTGATGAACCTAATGATACTACTTTAGAAATACCATCGGATATCGAACTAAAAGAATTGAAGTCTCTACTTGATGCTCAGGGTATCCAATACGTAATCAACGAACGGGAACCAGATACACCAAGCACTGTAATTCCATCTACCAGTGTGTTGCAGCAGGCTACGACAGCGGTTGCTGATGTATTTGACCTCGGGAAAATCACAACACCCCCAAGACCTAAAAGCAACAAAAGGAAAACAAACCCAGAGGCAAGAATATTAACAACTGAAGAGTTTAGGCGCTATAAAAAAGGGAAAGTCGATGAAAAAATGAGGATGGAAGCAGAGAAAGAAGAACGGAAAGAAAAAAGGAAACTAAATAAAGAGAAGAAGCTAAAAGCAGATTTGCTAAAAAAGTTTAATAAATCAAACAGAAACATATTTAGTAGCCTGGGTCAAAACTCAAAAGCCTAGTACGCAGCGCTAGCTTCATCGTTTGTTTATATACTAGGCCTAGTATGCACTTTCAATCACTGATTACGTGATTACGTGTTAGCGTATGGTATCGTACAGTCGGATTGTTGGACTATTAAATATATTTGTTAATAGAACCATTGGGAAATATCAGTGTCCCAGATGCAAATGGTAATAAATTAAATGCATCTATTGCAACTTTACTAATTGTGTGCTTAAAATGATCAAATGTTTTTCATGTTTTTGACATTTAATTCATTATTGAACGATTTTGGAAATCTTGACAGAACTCAACCTGACTTTGTTTTCCAATAAAAATGATTGCTTTATAGACGAGCACTTTTCACAGCAGTAAAACCATATTCCAGATAGTACGATTTTTAATCATCATGAGTCCTAACGCAGATTGTTATGTTCTTTCTGAATAATTAAAATAAATATATACCTACAGGTATGGTATACAACTATAGTATTTTCAGATTCCATTATTTCGTCGTGATTCGACGATACATAATTTTAAGAAAATAGTATGCTGTCACAGTGTGAACCCATTGCGAGTTTGACAATTTGACTCGAGAACTTAAGGTAAGTCAAGGTCTGTTCAATTTTTACCCTTACTTGTTAACACTTGGCATTGGCGTACATTGTTTTAATCCTACGGGGACCTTATCATCTGATCCTTAAAGTAATATAAACTGACAACATGTTTGCTAAATACGTTATCTAACAAATTGTAGGCCTAATTACGGCAAGCCAAATGTCACCAGCAATTCGTTACAAGTGAGAAATCCCAACCGCCGAACAATGTTCCCTAAACTTAGATACCATAACGAATATATCACCACTCTGGCTGTGCTGTAACAAAAATAGGAATAAGTCATCCAGTTATAACACCGTAGGGTAACATACCTTAGTATAAATGGTTAGGGAGTGAACAAATATTGGGTAATATGTAAACTTATTGAGAATCACGGCAATTAATCACGTGGACGGCATTAGGTTGTTGGCTGGCTGGAATTAGGACTGTTTGGTGGACGGGATTAGGACAGGTGGACGGGATTAGGAAATGCAATTGTCCACCTTTTCTATGATATTGTCCAATCAAACAACGATGATTTGAAACGAGACCCCGCAAATAATGTTCGTTTTATTGATGTTTCATATAGTTTTCAAGCGATTTTGATAATTTTTACCATGTTTTTCCATAAAAAGAAAAATACAAAAAGTGGACGGAATTAGGTGATCTTCCCCTAGGGCAGCAGAGACTGTAGTAATGACTTACTATCGAGGGTCATTACACCATCCCCCCAGAAGGACGACGTCCCATTGTAACTGATTCACATGGGCAATCCCATTTCTGACACTATTGTAACCTAAGACCTAAGCTCAACTTTTCATTGATCTGGAAATAAGCATTTTAGATTCATGTGATAATACTTATTGTTAGTACCTCAGTGTAAATACTCGTATCTGATTGGTCAATTGACGGTCAACATTTTTGCCTGTACCCCACCTGTGCATCATGGGATATCATATTATTGACCGCGTATGTTACTGTACTACACTTGTGAATTATGGGGAATATGACGTCATAATGTTTACAGAAAAAACATGGTAGACGGACATTTTGTAAACGTTGATGAAAGTGATATATTTGACTTTACTAGACGACAAGTACAGCAAAAATACAAATAGAAATGTGAAATTAACATTAATTTACTAGTGAGTACGCAGTGATGTACTGAAAACAGAGAGTTTAGCTACCACTGTATTCAGATTTTCGTAAAAAATCATTGCTGGTGTGGTTCGGAGAAAAGATTGTGGAATGAAGCCATGATTGATGATTGTCGTCTATATGTGTATTATTAGTTTCTTCTGACTAACAAAACAATTGTAGACCTCTCCATTCGGTCAACCGTCAAAATCATTTACCTCGACTGTAAACCTTGAAACTGCTGTTGACCTCGACCTTCGGTCTCTGTCAACAGTAGTTTCTCGGTTAACAGTCTCGGTATACAATTTTGCCGGTGGAGAGGTCAACAATTGTATACTGTAAGTCTTGGTATAGCACTGACATCCAAATGGGAATACTGTAGTTACACAAGTGGAATAATTGCAAATTACAAATTCCCTGAGGCTTTCCCAAAATAGATCTGAAAATTGGCGGATTTTTAATTTGACGAATTTCTTCAATCCGCCAATCTGTCAAATTAAACTGTAGCCAAATTAAGTACAGTATCATTATGTGACCACTATCTGGAAATACTATCTACACAAAAGATAAATGTATGGATTTTATTATTAAATATAACTTGTAAGATCAGCCTAAGATGACATGGTTCATACTTTTGGGTTTTAGGTTATCCTGAATAGGAGACTTATGTTTTCTGATGTTGCCCTTAGTTGTTCCAATCTTACAAGTAGTATTGATAATAAAATTGATCCATTTCCTTTTTTTTTGTATTTCCAGGAAACTCATGTTGCGGGATAAGAAATGAATAATTGGAAATGAGAATGTGGTGCTGTTTAATACTAGAAGCATGAGTTCAGCAACTAAGTTATGAGAAAGAACAAAAATTGAGGAAATTGAAAATTGATATTGGATCACTCTTAATATATCTCAAATTCAGACAATATGAGTTACGATGAGTCACATGAAATTGATCAATGTTCTCCAAGTGTCAATCAAAAAGCAATGTACCAAGCAAAATTGCCAGACTCCGAAGATTGTGATGCAGTTGGAAATTTTGAAAAATCTTCAAATTGTACCACCTGTGAAAATGATGACTTAGGAATTAATGAAGGCGTGGGTTTAAATCATCAAGGATGTGAAGAAGTTGACTTGCTCCAGACAAATGATACAACACATCCTGACCAAATAATCCATGCATCATTTCAAGAAGCAGAACAATATGCTCCGGGAATTCAACAAGGAATTGATGATGTGAGTGGGTCACCAAATGTCGAAAATGAGTTACCAGATATTTGGAATGAGTCACCAGGTGTTGGGAATGACCCACCAGATGTTGTTAATGAATCACCAGATAATAGGAATGAACCAACAGATGTAACACTTGAGTCAAATGATGTTGTGAATCCATATTATGATCCAGGTGTAATAACCAAAGATGAACATCCTCATCGAATTGAGGAGCATACTGCAGCAGCTGATATGGGTCTTTATGATGTTAAACAAGAAGCAGATGAAGAAGCATGGGATGTGTATAATGCTAATACAGATATGGACCATAATGACCATGTTATTGACATAAAACAAGAACTTCAGGAAGAAGGTGATATTGATGAAATTGATGCTGATATTGATAACAGTGTAGAAGAGGAACAGATGGTATCCTCAGCAAATACTCCTGAAGCTAAGATACCCAATGCTAGTAAATGGAACCCTCGAAAGGCAAGGATACATCCATGTTTATACTGTGAGAAAAGTTTCACAGAGAAGAGCAACCTAAACCGCCATCTATCCATGCATACAGGGGAGAAGCCATTCAAATGCGATACCTGTGAGATGACATTCACGCATAAGTACAAGTTGACCAATCATGCTAGGGTTCACAGTATAGATAGACCTTTCACATGTGAAATATGCCATAAGGGCTTCACTATGAAACACAGTCTGAAACTTCATGAAAGTACTCACTCTGGTGAAAAAACACCACTCCCTAGAATCCATCAGTGTTTGCACTGTGAGAAGAGCTTCATGCATAAGAGCAACCTTACCCGACATCTGCTTATGCATAGTGGCGAGAAGCCATTCAAATGTGATACCTGTGAGATGACATTCACACATAAGTACAAGTTGACCAATCATCAAAGGGTCCATAGTCCAAATAAACCTTTCACATGTTTAGTATGCAATAAAGGTTTCACAATGAAAAACAGCCTAAGACAGCATTCGTTTATTCACACCGGAGAAAAACCATTCAAATGTAGCTATTGTGAAAACAGGTACATCTTAAAAGGAGATTTAACTCGCCATGAACTTATTCATACTGGACATAAACCTTTTCAATGTGAAACCTGTGATAGAAAGTTCCAGTTTAAATGCAACTTAACCAAACATGAAGTAATCCACACAGGGGTAAAACCATTCAAATGTCAGTATTGCGAAAAAGCTTTTTCACAAAAATGCAACTTAACAATGCATGAACGGACACATACCGGAGAGAAACCATTTTTTTGTAGAGTTTGTGGTAAAAAGTACACTGATCAAAGCAACCTGAAAAATCACATGAGGAAACATGACTCAGTGGAGAGCTTTTTCCAGTGTGGGTCGTGTAAATATTCATTTAAATTGGAGTCACAGTTAGCGGAACACGTGAAGAAGACACACTTTTTGAATTATGATTTAGTGCCAAGGAAAACGGAGAAAGGTTTACGTGAAGGTTTGAATAAGGAAGAATCTGAATATGGTTAATTGGTCCATTTGATTTGCAAACTTGTATGTTATTTTTAACTGGAATTTTTGTGGAACTTGTGTTTCAAACGTATATATCATTTTAGAGTGGTCAGAATGTTACATCTGGACAGAACTATGCTCAGGGAAAAATGAAACTATTCAGGGATTTTTATTATGAAAAATTAGTTTGAAAATTAGTTTAAACAATCAAATTGATTGATGTGACTGATTCGCTTCTAATAACCAGATGGGGACCAGAGATATTGAAATATATGTGTAATTGTGATACATTTATATTTTGATCTATATTCACTAATATCATCAAAATGAACTTTAAATATTGTATTTAAGGAAATTAAATTGGCAAAAACAAGCAAAATTAAAAATGCTTTAGAACTCGGGGGGCGGGGGGGTTATAACTAGGGGAAGAAATAGTAGGGGCAGAATTAATACAAGTCATGTAACATGTATTTTTGTAGTAAATGGGATATATTGCAAATACATCAAGTATACATCATTGAGTTAATCATTAATGCAAGCCGTAGCTTCACAAAATTGATATAGAAAGTCTACATTGCTTTAGATCAAATGTGAGTGAGGCATTAGTAATTAATATATTTTTAGACTTGTCTTGCTACAAGCCCTTGTGACCCTCCGCAACATTTGGTTATGAAGTGGGGGGGGGGTTGCGAAGACTTGAAGCAAGACTTTATCCATACCTGAAAATCTGAAAATTTATACACTGTATTGAAGGTAAAATACATGGAAATGTTAAGTTAAACACAAACACATTTTGCCATAGTGGTTATTCACTGACATTTAAAAGAAGGAAGACCACCTCAGATCGAAAGATTTCTTGAACCTGTGGAGAGAAGTGTGAAATTATAAGTACATGTATATGTCAATATATCATCAAATAAAACTAGAAATATAGAATATAATTCTTGATTTCTTGTACATTTATTTTGCCCAGGCTGAGGGAGAAGATATTCTTGATTTTGTTATGTCCTCACACAAGTGTTGACATATTGTTATAGTATTTTTTTATGGATGGTATTTGGTGGTTGGTGTTTGCATTTGGTGGTGGGTGTTTGGCAGCTGATGTTTGGCACATCTAACCAATTCTTTGGACTTTCAATAACTTAGAAGTACCGTTTAGACTGACTTCAAATTTTTACTGTGGACTTATATATAAAAAAATGAGTTACAAGACATTTCTTCCAATATCTGTTACCATGGCAACAAATAAGTAAACATTTGTCTAAAAATGTATTTTTCAAATTGACCAAATTGTTTTTCGTAATCATCTTCAAGTTCAAATCTGACTAGATTTCAGATTTTACCTTTGATTGACCTTCAACGACTTTTTCCAGTTGGATCTATTATGATGGTGTATTGTAGTACATGCATATCTGTATATTGAACTGGTGGCCTCACAAATTACATGTACTATCAAGTTATTCTTGACTGATGCATTATGACTATAAATCAACATAAGCATAATGGCTTCACATAGAGACTTGTAACTTACATCTTTGTTACTAATTTCATGTTCATGTGCCACTCATCATTATCATATTAATCACATTATGGACTTCAACTGGCATGAGGACATCTGCATTGATTCTCACATCTATTCATATGACTATACCCACATGATGACTATTCAAATAATATGTACACTCACCTCATGACTATTTATATGACTTAGCTCACATTATGACTATTGTATGGTTGCAGGAAGATGGTGACCTTCAACATGAAAGTGTTCGAGACTTTCATCATGGATGTCGTGTTTCTGCCCTTGCTTGGAGCCCACAGACTTCATTAACTGACCTTCCCAGATCACTAAAGTAAGTTGCTGAATACATAAGATGTGGATTCGAACAATCATTTGTCTGATACTTCATGGCCCTTAGTTTATTCACAGATATTAATCAAAAGAAAACAAATTCATTTGTTCATAAGATTCATTTAAGGCATTAAAAATTTTTTCTGTTCTGTTGACCAGTTGTAGGAGATACATGTAAATGGATAATTCCTTCTAACTCACTGCTGCCATCTATAAAAGGACTAGTAAACCATATTGAATCAACCTACTAGAGTACTATATTGTTTGCAGGTTCTGTACTGGTGGGTCAGATAAAAAGCTTAGAATATTTTCATCAGATTTAAAAGATGATGACCGCGTCAAGGTATGTATACTGTACTTGTACGGGAGCTATTGTGTAACATTAGTTGAATAGAACATATACAATGTACAAAAATAGAACTTATTTATCTCAGAAAAATTGGATTGGGATGAAACTTCCCTACATCATACTCATCCAATGAGATACAATTAAATTTTCATTTCAATGTAATTAAAATGTAAATGCCCAGTAAAAATGTAAGATTGATTTATATTTATTCCTCCAGATCTTGGAAGGCCATGAGAACTATATCAACAGCGTATGCTATGAGCCCGATACAGGCTCTCAGGTTGCGAGTGTCAGTGATGATTATACTTGCCGAATCTGGAGTACAGAAGATGGTCACCAGATGGCAGTATATCCTCTTGGTGCCCCAGGAATGACAGTTGCTTGGCATCCACAGGATCCTTTAAAAGTAAATGTCTTGTGATATACTGTCATTAAAATGAGGCTTTTATGGTATCACTTTTGAGAAGATCATGAAACACTAAAATCTTAAAAAGACAACCTTTTGTAATATAGTTCACCGTTTCTGTCAGGTTATATATTTTATAGCACCTTGTATTTCACTTTATTTTAGTATTATTTAATTTTGTCCTATTTAGTTGCTAGTTGCGGAGAAGGGAGGAATGATAAGAATCTACAGTATCAGCAGTAATCAGCCAATCATGTCACTCAGTAGTGGACACACCCCCTTGATGTCATGTGATTGGTCACTTAGCAACCCAATAAAAATTGTTGCCATGGTACCTGGTAGTTATCTAGTGTTCGATACAACAACTTCCAGGTAATGTACCATAGTGGAATCAATTGGTGCAAGGCCCCCATAGGGACCTTGCGTTTTCATACTAAAGTTCGTTTTGGAATTTTTTCTTATTGTTCTATGTATTTTAAGACATTTTAGAGACAGGGCCCTTTTTCTAAAGCCCATTTTAGAAAAATAATTGAGATTACAGAGGATACCCATTATTACTGCTTTTTAACACATTGTGAACAGAAAATTCAAATTTCAAACTCTTTATCTCACTATAATTCACCAATGGAGAATGGAAGTTGAGCAACCAAACTTGGCACAAAGTTGGACCCTAAGATAAGCTCTAATCTGAGGGGTTTGATCTTTTGTGAAATCATACATTTGCCTAGCAACCACATAGCAACCATCTAAAATAACACATTTTACAATATAAATCCACTTAATATGCTAGGATGCTATAAACCATTACAAAAGTTTATTTATCCTAAAATACAATAATTCAAACATGTTTACAGAAGTGAACAGGTTACAATGCCCATTTTGACATTTGCACACCATGTTCCTATTATATGCTCACTTGTATGCTTTTGGATCCCTTCGACATTATTTCTTAACATACAGAAATTGTATTTAAGCATAAATGATGCAGTTATGCCTGACCATTTTCCCTAACAACTTCCTAGCAACGGCTTAAAATAATGCTTAAATTTGCCAAGCAATGACCTAGCAACAGCTTAAAATAGCAATGTTTCTCATAAAAATCTCACTATGTTTTCACTATTATGTAATATGTATGTCTTTTAATTGATGAGGCTTTGTTGCTGCACACTCAAAAACCTGTAGTCTCTTGTGTAAAGCATGATGGGACATTTCTTGTCTTATGTTTATCAAATTGCAAAAGTCCTGCAATTCATGTTTCAGTTCTGAGATAAAGTAAACACAAAATATTCATCATATTTATCCATGTTACATTTTCAGCATTAATACCCCTAAGATTATACTATATTTGGGTTAATTGCTACAATCTCCTTTGCAATTGCATAGTTTCGGTGCAGTAGAATGCACCGTGGGATTTGCAGTTCCCTTTGCAGTCACATTTGGTGCATCCACATTTAATTATGACTTTACATGCCTCTGATGCTTGCGACAGTATTGTCCATCTGGGTACCCACAATCCTGATGCGCTCCTAAACCATCCCCATAGGTTTGTTGAAGGAAGAACTGGATCCACTATATGCCATTGCCCCCATACATGTGCTCCTTGGAGCATGACATGATAGAGTGCTGCATCGCTTGTTGGAGGTCCGGTTGGAGGTACTCTACCGGGATCCATCTGTCATGAGTGAACATGTGCCTGCGCATGGTTTTGAGATTTGTCTCGCTGTTTGTAGGCTGGTAAACCAGGATAATGAACCTCTCAATTGTGCCCATAACTTCTGTTGTTGTTACGGTTGATGGGTGATCTACTAGAGTCAAAAGGACACCTGTTAGATCATTACATAAGTTCCATTGCTTGAAAACTGTCACCTTGCTCTGATGGTAAAATCCAGACATGGTATCAGTTCCAGTATGGGCGTGGAAGCAACGCACATGATCTTTGTGGTTCTAGTGCTCTAGCAATCTCATGAACTGGAATGTAGCGATACGTTTTGCATTTTGAAAATGCTACATAGACCTCAATCTGTAGCTCAGAGGCACAGGCTAAGGCTATCACAATAACATTACTGTCCACTGATCTTATCATAAATGTCCTGCAACCTTTTCCGACACCATGAAACACATGCAAAAACATATATGTATCTGCTTCATGACATTGTAAATTTTCCACATTTGGATAGTAATATTCTACTGAACCCAGTATATGGAGTTTATGTATCCCGACAGGGTGTGTTCAAAATACTAGTATATAGATTTTAAATCAAGACACTACTGATTAAAGCGTTAGGTCAAGGTTATACTAGTAAAAAGCTTAAAATCCTATCTGGGATTTGCTGAAACATACAAGTCATTTACCACTTGAGATGCTGAAGGATGTAGGAATTGTGCAAAGAGCTCAATCTTTCAATAAAGTCTTGCCAATATTGCTTGGTAGTTTGGTGTTAGGATAGGATTTCTCAGAAACAATGACAACAAGATAGAGTTCTTTGCACTACTAGCAACTGTTACAAGACATATTATGGCAGACGATAGAGTCTTTGTCTCAACCATTGAAGGAGAGTGCATCAGTAATCCTGCTAATTATGCCATAATAGACCCTGCTCCCATGAAGAGGCAGATACACATATGTTTTTGGATGTGTCTCATGGTGTCGGAAAAGGTTGCAGGACATTTATGATAAGATCGGTGGACAGTAATGTTGTGATAGCCTAATAGCATGTGCCTCTAAGCTACAGATTGAGATCTATGTAGCATTTTCAAAACTAACACTACATTCCAATTTATGAATTTACTTGAGCACTAGGACCACAAAGATCATGTGCGCTGCCAATGTTCCACATCCTTACTGGAACTGATACCACATCTAGATTTTACCATCATAGCAAGGTGACAGTTTTCAAGCAATGGAACTTATGTAATGATCTTACATGTGCCCTTTTGACAAGAAGCACATGGGGGCAGTGGTATATAGTGGATCCAGTTTTTCCTTCACCAAGTCTATTGGGATGGTTAAGGAGCCCATCAGGATTCCGGGTGCCCAGATGGAGAATATTGCCCATGCATCCATAGCATAATTAAATGTGACTGCACCAAATGTGACTGCAAAGGGAACTGCTAATGCCATGGTGCATTCTACTGCATCGAACTATGCACCTGTAAAGGAAATTGAAGCAATTCACCAAAATAGAGTATTATCTTAGGGGTATCAATGCTGAAAATGTATCAAGTATCAATGTGATGAATCAGAACTGAAACATGAATTGCAATTTGATACATGTAAGACAAGAAATGTCCCATCATGCTTTACACAAGAGACTAAAGATTTTTAAGTGAGCAACTATAAAGCTTTATAAATTACTAAAGACATATATATTGATTTTCTTTAAGTCATACAGTGGATATATAGTGAAATTCTTATGAGAAACATTGCTATTTTAAGATGTTGCTGGGTCGTTGCTAGGCAAATTTAGCCTTTATTTCAAGCCGTTGCTAGGGAAAATGGTCAGACATAACTGCATCAATACATTTGCTATATGTTAAGAAATAATGTGGAAGAGATCCAAAAGCAGTGAACATATAATAGATATATGGTCTGCAAATGTCAAAATGGGCATTGTAACCTGTTGCCATGTTGTTGCTATGCAACATGGTGATGTCACTTCAGTATATGTTAAAATTGTTGTATTTTAAGATAAGAATACTTTTTTGTAATGGTCTTATAGCATCCTAGCATATATTAAGTGGATTTATATTGTAAAATATGTTATTTTAGGCAGTTGCTATGTGGTTGCTAGGCAAATATAAGATATCACAAAAAATCAAAGCCTAAGATTACAGTTTATCTTAGGATCTAACTTTGTGCCAAGTTTGGTTGCTCAATTCCCATTCCCCAATGGTGAATTATAGTGAGATAAGGAGTTTGGAATTGGAATTTTCTATTAAAATTGTGTTAAAAAGCAGAAATAACAGGTATCCTCTGTAATCTCAATTATTTTTCTAAAAAGGGCTTTAGAAAAAGGGCCCTGTCTCTTAAATAACTTTAAATACATAAAGCTATAAGAAAAAACTCAAAAACAAACTTTAGTATGAAAACGCAAGATCATTCACCAATTGATTCCGCTACCATATCTAAATATAGAAATAATTAAGTGATGAGGGTCATATCAAGAGATTCAAGTGCTTGCAAGACCAATTCTCTGAAATAAAGTACACATAACAACTTTTTTGGGAAGTTTTTGGAAATAGACAATGTCATAAGTTTTGAAGATGTAGCTCCTCATGTTTGATTGTTCTTATAATATTTGAACATACAAGAAACCACATATTTGATTGTTCCAACTACTTACATTTAATTGTCCCTTTACTTAGATGTTTGAGCAACTGCATATTTGATTGTTCCAGCTACCATATATTTGATTGTTCCATTATTTTCTTGTTCCAGCTACCATGCATTTGATTGTTTATTAACTTGATTGTTCAAGCTAGCCTATATTTGATTGTTCCATTATTTGCTTGTTCCAGCTACCATGTATTTGATTGTTCATTAACTCGATTGTTCCAGCTAGCCTATATTTGATTGTTCCATTATTTTCTTGTTCCAGCTACCATGTATTTGATTGTTCATTAACTCGATTGTTCCAGCTAGCCTATATTTGATTGTTCCATTATTTGCTTGTTCCAGCTACCATGTATTTGATTGTTCATTAACTCGATTGTTCCAGCTAGCCTATATTTGATTGTTCCATTATTTTCTTGTTCCAGCTACCATATATTTGATTGTTCATTAACTTGATTGTTCCAGCTAGCCTATATTTGATTGTTCCATTATTTTCTTGTTCCAGCTACCATATATTTGATTGTTCATTAACTTGATTGTTCCAGCTTGCCTATACAGTAAAACCTGCGAACAAGGAATGCTCTTGGGACTGGAAGAAAGTTTCCTTGTTCATAGGTTTTCCCTATAGAGAGGGGCCGCACTTTCAGCAAACTCAAACTTGCCGAATAAGCATATTTATATTGGCATACATTAATTGATCATATCAATGCCGGCTCCATACTTGGTTGCAAGAACCTTATTTTGAAATCTTGGAAGATGTATGAAGGTCTCCCACCTCCCTCCAATGGCTGAGGGTAAGGAGCGTTCTCCCTATGTTGATTTTAGCTGCTGCTGCTGGGTCTGATGATGTCTAGTTGATGTAATTATTGATAGATTTGGCTCAACATGACACATGTACTTCTGTTATCTCCATAAAACAATTGTGTCAGTCCCTAGATTATCACAACTGAACAAACAGATTGGTATTAGTTTTAAAATATATCAGGGTAATTAACAGTAGGTGGGATGCTACATCTTGGCTACAATTGGCTTATCTTAATCTCATTCATATTAATCCAAGCTTTTTAGAATCAGATATTGGCTTAATACTTTCACACCTCTGAAAAATAATGGAATATACAGGGTCACCAATATTCCATATTCCTTGTTCACAGGTAAATTTTCATAATTTGCCCCAAAATAGTGTTCCTTGTTCCCTGTTCACAGGTTTTCCCTACAGAGAGGGTCCGTTAACATGTAAGTCAATGGAAAAATATTCGGTTCTTTTGAAAAGCATTCCTTGTTCATAGGTTTTCCCTACAGAGAAGTATTCCATCGGACAGGTTTTACTGTATTTGATTGTTCCATTATTTGCTTGTTCCAGCTACCCCATATGTAAGAAACAAGTGCACAGTGAGGGAGGCCAAACAGTAAGGGTGGCTAGATGTAGTGAGAATCTTGTTGCCACCCTGGGGAGGCCCAGATCTCAGATTAAAGTCACAAATACCAGAAATGAACAGGTAACATCATAGAAAAATAGATTTTGTTTCGTGAAATGTGTGGAAAAATATATGAATTCTTTGATGTATGAGTTCATAGTTAAAATGATGCATTTGCCATGTAAGTGTTCTGATTGAATATCTAAAATGCTATAATGCTGTAGTGATTAGAAAATGTAAGACTTTTGATTAAGAATAGATGTCTACACCACATAGATGATTAAATAGATGGCACTAGAGATTTTGGTTGGGCTAGAATATCATAAATGTATTTTTGCTTATTTTTTAGGTTGTTTTTGAGGAGAGCTGTCATGTTCTTAATGGCCTAAGCTGGCATCACCATTCATCGCTACTGGCTGCTGGAGGAGATCGTAAAGTCCATATATGGCATATCATGTAACATTTGTAATTTTGTTAACAGTAAAGATTATGTGTGCTATTATATATAGCATATTAGCATAATTGTATAACAGGAAAAATAGTTCATGCCATTTGATATGTGACATTGTTGTTATACAGATTCACTAATCTGGAAAGACAGACAGGAGAACATTAATCATGTCTATCATAGCATACTAACTGGGATTGAAATACCAGGATGTAGCCAGGATATATATAGGTGAGGCAAATGTAAATTGGCAAGGTAAAGGTTAAGCAGAAATTAATGTACATGTATCATAAGACTGGTGGATTTTTTTTTCAATTCCAATTAAAAATCAATATTCTTCTGTAAAGTTTTGTCAAGGAATTACCTGGCTCAACTACCTCATACCCAGCTTCACCCATGAATATTGTTGTTTTTATGTCACCACCACATGTAGCGACATATTATTATAGTCTCAGACTTTTTCATGGATGGTGTTTGGCAGTTGGTTTTCTATGGTTGATGTTTGGCATTCGGTGGTTAGCATCTGTAACAAATGGCAGGTGGTGACATTTGGCTTGTTTTCTTAGGTTTTCCTCAAAATATTGAAACTGCCATTTTCTATATCTTGATCATTTTCTTTATTTTGATTTTTCAATTTAAGGATGTTTTGTACAACATTAAATAAAGAAGTATTATAGTTTTATAAATTAAGTTTTATATGTTATTTACTTTTGTAAAATATTCATGGTGTTTGGGAGATCCAACTTCATTTTAATTGGAAACTTAAAGAGACACATGCTGATTTCCTGACTGGAACTTAGATCAGATGTAGACATGCTCTCCCTTGTGGAAGTCTAAAAATGTGTTTTTTAAAATGTTTTTTATTTTAACCTCAAAACAGTGTTAACATCACTGTCTAAACAAGAGGATTATATCTACAATACTGATATACTAGTACAAAACTATAAAACAAGGCACACAATGAAAAATATTGTTCTAAAAATAGTAGACTTAAAATATATCCAACTTTTATTTCACCTTTGTCAAAATATTAATTTCGCAAAATATGTGGACTCACAAAATGGTGCCATTGTTCATCCATGTATATTTTCTTACTTACCTGATAAAAAATGTTATTGTCGTAAGCTTGGTTGCTGTATTTCTTTGGCATGGTAAATTTTAAGGCTGGAATTTTTTAGGTACAATATTGTTCACTGTGTGCTTTGTTTTATTAGTATTATATATGAGATAAAGCTAATACCTCTCCATTACAATGATGAATATTATCTACATCATGCATCATGGATCCATGTGGGCCATAAAATTGTTATGATGTTTTGTACAGTAATGTGATCAACTGTCATTGACTGATGTGTATACATAATATAATGGGTGCTTCAAAATTACTATCAGGATGAGACCATATGACTTGAACATTGCTCAGTGTGTAGATTTGTATGGCTGAAATGAGTCAAGAGAGAAATAGCAGTGTGTTAATGGACCAAGGAATCACTGTGACTGTGAGCTCAAATGGATCCTTAAAGAGTAATTTCACCAAAGTAAGAACTGTCGACATACTGATCGTATCATATTTGTCACCAATAGTTTTGATTCTAGGAACAATCGGCAATGCTTTGTCTATAGCAGTGTTTTATAGGAAGAAATTTCGTAGAAACACGGCATCTGTGTATCTAATCACACTGGCTGTGGTGGACACATTTGGTTTATGGGTTGGACTTTTCCCTTACTGGCTTCCAAAGATCAGCCATATAAGTGATATTGAGCTCATGAATACATGGGCATGTTCAATATTAATATTTCTTGGATTCCTCAGCATACAGTTATCAGCATGGACTTTGGTGCTAGTGACGTTTGAACGACTTCTTGCGGTATTTGCCCCATTGAAAGCAAAGGTCATCTTTAATATAAAATGGGCAGTTGTAATACTCGTTAGTGTGTTTGCTGTGCTTCTTGGTTTAAATTTGCACATATTGTGGAACTTTGACCTACAACTTAACATAGCCAATGAAACTGAGTGCGGGGGAACATCAGAAGCCTATATATCAATGCACGCCTGGATGAATGCTGTAATAGCATCTTATCTCCCGTCATTTTTGATGTTCTCAGCAAATATAGCTATCATTGCGAAGATGCTCCGGAGGAGAAGATCTGGACTAGGGAGCTCTAATCAGATCGCTTCAATGACCATAATATTGCTACTCTGTAACTTTTCGTTTATTTGTTTGACATTTCCCCTAGCTGTGTATTATGCATTTTATCTTCAGTGGTATCCACAGTCGAGTGAAAAGAGAGATATACACGAGGCTTTAGTTATCCTGCTTGCCTTCTCAAACCAAGCCATCAACTTTCCTCTCTACTGTGCCTCAGGACAAACTTTTAGAGATGAAATGAAAAAGATGTTTCACAAGTGGAAATCTGCCATATGTGGAAGGGGTAATAGTGTTACTGATGTATTACAGATGAACACAAACACATTAAATAGCAACACTAATTAATGGCATTGTCATCAAAATGCACCTCTTTAAAACAATCCTTACTACAAGTCTTTAAATCTACATTTTTGTTTGTCTTTTGTTGTTTTTAAAGTCTCCGATAAATCGGACTACGTATATACCGCCGTGTTTACATTAGGGGATTAGAGGAGTTTACTTTTATTTTAGGTATGCAAGCAATATAAATATTAGGCCTTCATGCATGTACTCGAATGTACAATCAGCATGCCCTTCAATATTATATAAACCAGGCTATTCAAGTACTACATAATGTACACTATTTATGTGTGTACTACATTCCCTGGGAAACAAAACACAAATACTTTTTATATGTTCAAAATGAGCCATTTGATTGATGCATACACTTAATAGCTCATTAATAACACCTACAAAGTATATCTAATAGTAATTTTCAATTTCAACGGTGAAACTTGCCTGTTTACGATTATACGGGAAATCAACATGGGACGAAGATTGTTCACCTTCCTGACTTACCTCTGAAGCCTGTACCTTGTAATCTCTATATATAGGTTAGCGAGAGCGCTGCGCCTGCGTAGTTTTAAACTTTGGCGCACACTTTAATGAGAGCTGGCACATTCTGAATGTCTAAACTCGCGGCATTAACATTCATTGCTGCCTGCTTTGTATGTGTGGGATTAGTTATTTTGTGAAGTCAAATGCCTACATATATACGTGTGCTGTAGGACATCAGTATTTATGGCAGGAAAAAATCAAAATAAGTGTGACATTTTGTGGTATTTTGAATTACAATAATTACACTTAGCAGCCATATAATCAAGATTGAGTGACATTGTTAATTTTTATAATTGTAAATACAAACTTTCAAATCTGGAGAAATAGCCAAATTAGAAAGGAAGGCAGTGCTTGTGCTACTTTTAATTTGGCAAAGGACATACGAAATGAGAAATCATGACAAATTGGTGTTTTTGACAAAATAGTAAATGTTTCATCAGGGCTGAAATCACATACACAATATTTAATCACATATATCTGAATGTTTTATTATTGATATGCATTACCGTTATTATTATCAGAAAAATAATAACAATAAATAACATGGCAAGAGTCAATTTCATTTTGAAGCTAATTGTAACCCTGGAATCTATCTAGATAATAGCACAACATTGACAAATACCAAATGTCTCCACCTGATTGCAATTACAATAATGTAACAGTTGTTACAGATATCAATATTGAAGGGGGTCACACAAATGGTGTCATTAACGATATGCCATCACTTCTTTAAATGGCACAACTTCCTGGTGGTGACATGAGTCACCATTTCCTGGTGGTGACATTAAAATGAAAAAATGATGTAGCAAATTATTGTCTTCATAATACAGGGTGACCGGAAAAAAAGGAGACCATTGAAATAGGCAATATCTCCTAAAATAGACTAGTGACATCAATGAAATTTTGCATACATCAGGACAGTTCTATGGAAATTTGTTCCTGAAAGTGTCAATACAAGCAGTCAACTGGTTCAGGAGCTATGATCATTTACATAACATGCTCCAAATAGGCGCAATTGAGACCAACGCAGAGCTGGATACATTTGGCAAATACCCTTACATATTCCGACCTTGTTATGGCATTACATTTAGCATTTATTGCCACCTTTAGGTCAGCAATTGTCTCAGGATTGTTTTGGTACACATTGTCTTTCAAATTGCCCCACAAAAAGAAATCAGGTGGATTCAAATTTGAGGTGTATGGAGACGAAGCTTATCTGACCTATGGCTTCTGACTCAGTGGTCCCACTCAGTTACAGTATCATCCTAAGGAGGTTTTGGGCAGCCCTTGGTTTTCATATGGGATTTAATTGTGCCATATAGTGGTTTTAGTAACATGGCACTATGCCCAATACCTAAAGTGACTCTTAAGATTTGGTAAATCAGCACTTTGGCAACAGGATGATGAACCACATGTCAGATAACCCTTCATTGCCATTACAGCCTAGACTTGAATCCTGCTGATTTCTTTTTGTATGGATATTTGAAAGACAATCTATACCAAAACAATCCTCAGACTATTGTTGACCTAAAGAAGGCAATCACTGCTATATGTAATGCCATAATAATGCCATAGAGGGCAGAACATGTAAGGGTAGTTTGCCATATGAATCCAACTCTGCGTTGGTCTCAATTGTGCCTATTTGGAGCATGTTATGTAAATGATCATAGCTCCTGAACCAGTTGAATGCTTGTATTGAAACCTTCAGTAACAAATTTCCATATAACTGTTCCAGTGTATGCAAAATTTCATTGATGGCACTTGTCTAGTTTAGGAGAAATTGATTACTTCAATGGTCTCCTTTTTTTCCGGTCACCCTGTACATGTATTAAATTTGCAATGTGTGTAGTAATCAACTGTCATTAATTTGGGATCATTCCATATTTATTGTTTTTTTCTTGGAACTCCTTTTTGTATTAAATCCCTATTGATCATGGCCCTGTTAAAGATATTATAATTATAGTTGCTTTATATCATAGGCATTAAACAAATCCATTTTGCGAATTTTCCAATGCTACATCAGATCTTTCTGGTTGATTCCGTCTTTTGTTGGAGTACACCTCATCTCTTAAACTTCCAGATTTCTAAATTTCCTAAATTATCTATATGCTACCGGAACCAGGGTGGAAGATCCTGTTTTTCCCAAGTCTTTTGAAATAATTTATCACCCTCTTTAGTCTCCTTTGCATAATTTTCGACCATCTGATCCATCCCTGTCTTTTTATTTTCCCACAAATCGGGCCAGTCAAAAGTTTCGTCAGCCTGAAAATAGCAGAAACAGTTGTGTAAAGAAAATTGATTGGAAAATGGTGAACAATTTAGCAGCAAAAGTTGAATGAAAAACAATCATATTTTTAGCACTATTATACAAATATTTTGTTCGTTTTAAGGGAATTCATCCAATGACTGGAAGGTGAGGAAAATATTACATTGAAAGTGTCTTATTTCTCATTCTGTCAATGACTGAGTAATATCAAAAGTAAAAAATATAAGAAATATTTCAATTCACAACCCAGGAATATAATGCCATTGTTGCGTGGCAGCATATTTTTGTTTTGTTTGTAATTGTATTACTTATGAATGTTATAATAAAGACTAAAAGAAAATAATTTTCATGTTCTTTCAAAAAGTTGGTCACGATTACTCACTAGAGTAACATGTGCTATTTTCTTCTCTGGCTCTGGCTGCCACTTGACACCTGGTTTAGCAGGGTTGGTTCTCTTCTTAGCTGAAACATAGAAATACACAAGTGAACCATAGTAGTATTATTAGATTAAGGTGCAACATTACATGAATTATTTCATATGTGTGATTGTATACTGTTACACCAATATAGATCACCAGTATAATTATATACATGTGCAGAGATCTTTACTTTAAAATGTCAAAGATCATTTTCTTTATATTAGATCTTGCAAAGGTAACATTCTTGAATTAGAACAAACATTTTTGGCTTAAAACAGATGTCAAAGGTCACAGGTCAAATGTTTTAATATATTTGGTACATATAAAGCTCTAATTGAAATGTTGCCATGGTTCATAGTGCTTGTGTCATTTCTTTTGCATATAACATAAGTTCTGGATCAAATCGATGTTACATGAGCTGAATTCCATGGAATATATGGTCTAATGACCATGTAAATACTGTATTTGTCTTTAATTTGGCGAGTGTCTTAAATTGGTAAATTTTGGTAAATTAAAAGAATCCCAATTTTAAATGGTTGCCAAAATCCCCGGGAATAATATGATTTTTATTTGGTGCACTTGAAAAATATTAAGATGGCTGGGCTGTTTAAATTTGTAGAAACAACAAAAAATATTGAAGAAAATATAAACAAGAAATTTTGAAGAAATTCTTCAACAACACTATCAATGAGTATCTTGAATTGGGTAGGATGGGAGGATGTCTGGGACACTTGAAAAACCACTATATTAAATAGATGCCAATAGGTCCCAAAACACAAATTCGCCAAATTAAGTAGCGGCAAAGTAAAGACAAATACAGTAAACTGTATGCTCTGTGAGCTTACCTTGCACCAGGACTGTGCGTACATTCAGCACATTCACACCATATATCTTCTCTAAATAGTTCTTTACATCCCTGCGACTCATCCTAAAATTAAATTCACACATAGGTAGGCATGATATATACAAGGCTACCACCCTCAATCAAAGTCCCTGTTTGGAGAATGATATTGGAGAATGGTTCTTTTCATGTTACTATTCGTCAATTTATCAATCTTGAACAAGAATAAATTACTTCAGTTTTTTGACAAAATAGAGTGAAAGAATTTTCCTTACCAAATGAATTTCTCAAAAAAATCAGAAGAAACTACAAGTTCACATGACTAAATGAACATTGTCCACGATTTCAGTAGTTTATACAGTATTTAGTTTTTTTCTCATTTTACACAAATCTTTTCAGTTTATGGTAATCAACCTTTCAAAATTTTCTGCCTTAAAATCCAACAATTTTGCTCAGAATTTAAAATCATCTGATTGAATGTTCTAAGGAACACTTACTGTGGATGAACTTCAAATTCTACATTGTCATTTGGCACATTACATGAAGGTTTCTTCATCTTCATCCAGAACATTGGTAGAAACACACGCCATTGTGGGTCACCTAACTGATATATCGGGGCCTTCACTAGACGTTTCCATAGTGGGCTGAAAAACCAAGAACTTGTAGTAAACATATGAACAAAGCTTACTGTTAAAAATGTTATCATTTTGAATAAATGAGGACAATCACGTCCGCAGCCAGGATTTGCCAAGGGGGTACACTTTTTTTTAAATTCCAGGGGTAGATCACTTTTGACAACTTAGGGTTTGGTCCAAAAGTGGCCAAAACCACTCAAAAAGTGCTCAGAATGGTTAAAAACTGCATGAATTTGAAACAACTTTTGGCCAATGGGGGTGGGGGGGTTGCCTGACAATTCTCCATTTGACTCATTGCATAGACAGCTTTTAAAGAAGAACCGACAACATGAAATTTAATTATTTCAGGAAAAATATTCAGAAAAAACAATTGTATTAATAGTTTAAAAAGTAAACAAGAGCCTATATCACCCTATGCAGACAGAGCCTGTGGGAAATATTGGGTGCGGCGCAAATGAGCGGAGGGTGCGGAGCTAACGGTCATTTTTGAATTTAAAATTGGGATATTTCTGAAACTAAGCCGTTTTGGGACTTCAAATATACCAAGATATGTGTATTTGACACCAAATATCAATAAAATTGTGAAAATAGTAGTGCAATTCATTTAATAGCGACGCAGTATGCCTTAAACATTTCCCAGACCTATATATTTTGAGACTATCCTTTTAATACTGCGTCCCCAGCATTCATAAACAAGGCATTAACATGACAAAATGTCAACACCTAAAACAATTTGGTCAATTTAAAGCAAGTTGAAAAAATACCTCTTTGACTTTTTTTGACATTGAGAAGGTCATTGAAGGTCAAATGTCAAATGTAAAGTCAGATTTGAACTTCTGAGAACATGTAGATGATTTTGAAAAAAAATTAAGTAAATTTGAAGCAAGTTGAAAAAAGACCTTTTTGACCTTGAAAAGGTCATTGAAGGTCAAATGTCAAATCTAAAGTCAGATTTGAACTTCTGAGAACATGTAAATGATTTTGAAAAAATAATTAAGTAAATTTGAAGCAAGTTGAAAAAAGACCTTTTTGACCTTGAAAAGGTCATTGAAGGTCAAAGGACAAATCTAAAGTCAGATTTGAACTTCTGAGAACTTGTAAAGTCAAATTTGAACTTCTGAAAAGATGTAGATGATTTTGAAAAAAAAAATTGGTAAATTTGAAGCAAGTTGAAAACAGACCTTTTTGACCTTTTTGACCTTGAGAAGGTCATTAAAGGTCAAATGTCAAATCTAAAGTCAGATTTGAATTTCTGAGAACATGTAGATGATTTTGAAAAAAAAAATTAGTCAATTTGAAGCAAGTTGAAAAAAGACCTTTTTGACCTTTTTTGACCTTGAGAAGGTCATTGAAGGTCAAATGTCAAATCTAAAGTCAAATCTAGTCATATTTGAATTTCTGAGAACATGTAGATGATTTTGAAAAAAAAATTTAGTCAATTTGAAGCAAGATGAAAAAATACCTTTTTGACCTTTTTTGACATTGAGAAGGTCATTGAAGGTCAAATGTCAAATCTAAAGTCAGATTTGAATTTCTGAGAACATGTAGATGATTTTGAAAAAAAAATTTAGTCAATTTGAAACAAGTTGAAAAAAGACCTTTTTGACCTTTTTTGACTTTGAGAAGGTCATTGAAGGTCAAATGTCAAATCTTAAGTCAAATCTAAAGTCAGATTTGAATTTCTGAGAACACGTAGATGATTTTGAAAAATTTTTTTAGTCAATTTGAAGCAAGTTGAAAACAGACCTTTTTGACCTTTTTTGACCTTGAGAAGGTCATTGAAGGTCAAATGTCAAATCTTAAGTCAGATTTGAATTTCTGACAACACGTAGATGATTTTGAAAAAAAAATTTAGTCAATTTGAAGCAAGTTGAAAACAGACCTTTTTGACCTTTTTTGACCTTGAGAAGGTCATTGAAGGTCAAATGTCAAATCTAAAGTCAGATTTGAAGGTCAAATGTCAAATCTAAAGTCAAATCTAAAGTCAGATTTGAATTTCTGAGAACATGTAGATGATTTTGAAAAAAAAATTAAGTAAATTTGAAGCAAGTTGAAAAAAGACCTTTTTGACCTTGAGAAGGTCATTGAAGGTCAAATGTCAAATCTAAAGTCAGATTTGAACTTCTGAGAACATGTAGATGATTTAGAAAAAAATTGAAGTCAATCTAAACAGTATTTGTTAAGTTATAGGAAGTTGTAAGAAATTGTTACAGACGCCGGACGCCAACCGCCGGACGCCAACCGCCGTCGCAAAAAACGGAGACCATAACAATATGTCACCACTTTTGGTGGTGACATAAAAATGGTGTTCAAGATACACTACCCATGCAAATTATTTTTGCATCTTGGAAGCCAGGCAGTATCTGTGTGATTTTATAAAAATTCGGAAATGTTCTTCAGATATGAGCCCCTCTAAATATTGGGTGCGGAGCTACGTTTATGGAGCTGCTCCGCACCCAATATTTAGAGGGGGCTCATATCTGAAAAAATTTCCGAATTTTTATAAAATCACACAGATACTGCCTGGCTTCCAAGATGCAAAAATAATTTGTATAGATAGTGCACCTTGAACACCATTTTTTATGAATGCTGGAGACTCAGTATTAAAAGGATAATTTCAAAATATATAGGTCTGGGAAAGGTTTAAGGCACACTGCGTCGCTATAGAATGAATTGCGCTACTATTTTCACAATTGTATTGATATTTGGTGTCAAATACACAATCATATCTTGGTATATTTGAAGTCCCAAAACGGCTTAGTTTCAGAAATATCCCAAATTTAAATTCAAAAATAACCGCTAGCTCCGCACCCTCCGCTCATTTGCTCCGCACCCAATATTTCCCACAGGCTCTGTCTGCATAGGGTGTATATGCATGGTAGTAAAACTTGTGTATATTAAACATTTTTTCGAAGCTTCGAAGGACCAGATTTTGACATCTAAGGAAAAGGATTGGCTAATATAATATACTGCATGCTGCCAATTTCATAACTTCCAGTTTTACTGGTAAATGAACATATTTTCATATATTATTGCTACTTAAACTTTGCTCCAAGCCATTAGATTAACAATAAACACAATGTAAACAACATCAGAATAGGTGAATGTTAACAATACATACAATGGTGTATTCACAAATACTTCTCTGCATGAAAATGTGGGTTACCTCAACTTTCATTCAGAAATCAGATAATAATAGACTACATGCCTCTCAACTTCAAATATAATTCAGTTTTTAAAAAGTTCAACCTAAAAAAATGAATATCTGCACAATTTTGGAAAAAAATACATGAATTGGTTTTATTCCTAAAGCTCTGATAATATGATTTCTATCAGGAACTTTTTGACTTCCTTGCTTCTTAAAAAAGAAAACATCACTGTTTTCTCAACTGTCTCATAATTTACTTCCCATAGGAGTTGAAAAAAACATTAATTTGAATTTTAGACCAATCAGATGTTTGTAAATCAAGGATTGTGTCTACATGTAGTTGAAAGCCCATGGTCTCATACTGGACTGTTTTTCTTTTAACTTGTTCCAAACAAAGCAAAAATGCCACTCTGTTGGTACATTATTCTGTTATACAGAGTTCCTCCTTTTGGCAGCATTTGGGTCCCCAGTTGTAAGAAGTGCTTCTCACGTGACAATGTTTACGTTCTTGAATGAGATTAGAATTATTATAGTTTGAGGAAATGAATTATGAGTTTAGTAGTAGTAGTAGTCTAGATTTACATATTTAAGGTAGATAAACGATGAAATTTTTCATTACAGTATTCTCATGCTACTCAATGTCATTTAATATAACCATTGTCACGATCATATTGTGCATTAACATTACCACAGTCAGTGGCGTAGCGTGGGTATTTTTGAGTGTACGCCACGAGGGAGCGAAGCGAACGATCTTTGAGGGGGGTTCGGGGGTGGGTCCTCCCCTAGTATGTATCCAACAGACCGAATATAATATTCGGTCTGTTATGATTGATATATTTCCTGTGGAAATCGCGGTGATATTTTTTGCACATTAATTTCTCGTTTATTATAAGAATGTTCACCTTGAAAATTGGTGAATATGTTGAAGAGATGTTCATCTTAAACTAGAAGCAAAAATATTTGTATAAGGCGGGTACAAGTTGATATAAAATAATGAAATGTTCAGACTCACCGAAACTTCAGGATGTGTTCATAAGTAGATCGCGAAATCAATGTCAAGGACGTTTGAGTTCACGAGATCCAAACGAGATATGCAAATTTTGAACTTTGACAACACATGACCACTTGATTACCTATGCCTTCTTCATGAATATTTCCGCTCTATTTACTATAAATGAAGAAAATTAATCGGGATAATGATGATAAATGACTAGATCTAATAAATTCCCGCACAAATGGAATTTAGCAATACGCTTCCGTAATGTTGCTCCGTCCGCTCCACGTGTTATTTGTTTACAAATAGACTGACGTCACTGGCTAAATCTCGTTTATCGTGAGAATTTGGCATTGCCAAAATGGCTTGACCTAATCAATGGCTTCGCTACAAGAAGCGTCTGTACATTTTATGAATATCTTCAGTAAGAGGATAATATACGAAAAAATAATATTGTAAGTTCTTTATAAGGCAATCATTTTATCATTAAACAAACTTATTTGTAACATTTATACAACACCACATTTTACAATAGGTGACTTACAGTCTGAATATTTATTCAGACGAAGGATACAGTCTAGGTCCTCCCCCAAGAAAATTTGAAAATGAGATTGCAGTTGAAGCGTTCTGGGGCGTTTTAAAATACGAAATTCCGACGAAATGGGCTAATGACATTTAAATTATTGGTCATTTTATCCATTTTTAAAGTGTGAGGCAATTCAATCTAAAAATCAACTTTTCTCTAAATTATCAGAGTACGCCATGGTGTTTTATGCGTATATGACGCTACGCCATTGACAGTCATGACAGGCCTTGCAACCATTGTCACTGTCATATCAGGCTTTACCATTACCAAGGTCATGACAGGCCTTGCAATATACTATAGCATTGTCACTGTCATATCAGGCTTTACCATTACCAAGGTCATGAGAGGCCTTGCAATATACTATAGCATTGTCACGGTCATATCAGGCTTTAACGTTACCACAGTCATGACAGGACTAGCAATATACTATAGCATTGCCACGGTCATATCAGGCTTTAACGTTACCACAGTCATGACAGGACTAGCAATATAATATAGCATTGTCACGGTTATACCAGGCTTTCACTATAACACTATCACAGTCATTGCAGGATCCTTGCGAAAATTAAAAACACTTAATAACATGTTGACAGTTGTGCCAGGCATAAGTCTTGCAACAGATAGGGTCTCGACAAGGGCATATCAAAAGTGTTCAACATCTGATTGTCAATAATGTGCAGCATTCAGCATATACCAGTAAGTACCCACTACATAATACGTGAAACTTGAAACGGATGCAAACCTAATTAAAATACACAAGATTTTATCGAGTTTTTCATCGAAAATAACGCAACTTCTCAGTTCTTCGAAAAACGCTGAAATTTTTGTGAAAATGCCAACTTTGAGTGCAAATTTCATTATAAAACATGACAGGTTTGAATAAATTATTGATCGAAAAATGCACAAATATACTATGGTAAGGTAAGATACAATAACATAGTCACACCAACGCTTCTTTCTCTCAGAAATCATAATACAAACGACTTAAACTTACATCCACCGTTTCACTTCCTTGCTCGCCATAGTTCCGGTTTCTCCGGGATGAGAATGACCTTGAATCTGATTGGTTTAGCGGTTTGTTGTGAGGAGGTGGGAAAAATGACTCAGAGATTCAGGTGAGTTTCTTCCTTGTTTCACGTTTATAATCAATCATTCAGTACACCTGTAAAGATTGAACAAACCACAAATAAACTACACACCTGGACATGACGATTCAAAACAACAAGTCAATGGTAAGTGTACTCAATATACAAATCAAACATTCATCATTTTTTCTAAAATTTATTTGATTTTTGATTATTTTTTAAAATAGATAATAATAAGACTTTTCCAATAAGGAACAGCATCTTTTCAATTCAATCGAGGTTGGGCCATGTAGCCGAAGGTAAGCCATACAACCGAATTTTGCCGATTCAATCTGACGGAGAATGTTGAGCCTCTCTTAGAGACGTTCTCTTCACATTCTTGCTACCCAACTTAGTTTGCAACGAAAATCTTCGGCAATCTTCGGCTTTTCTTGAGGTATCTTAGGTTGCAAGCCAAAAGTCGACACCCTTTCTAATTACTTAATCCATGCCTGCAGAAAGTACATGAAAGTAAAGGCCATGAATGTCAAGCATGGGGGTAGTTCAACAAGTTAAACCTAGTCTGGGAATTATTTCTTATCTGACATATCTTGTGGCCCGCCCTAGGTTTAACATCCATGCCTATTCGGCCCTTGATGCAAAATATTTAATAGTGGCCTATGGCAACGCATGGAATTTTATGCGCGTTTAATTTATAACTGATAGTGAGAATTTGCAACAAATAAAACTATGGCACGGAAGTTAAACCCAATCACGGCAACAATAACATTCAGATTAATAAATGAAAGCCGTGGTATTGGGTTTAACTTGTTGAACTAGCATGGGGGTAAAATATCAACATACTCAAGTCTCTAACTTTTAGTGATATATTGCTAATCACTGCATGATCATATAAACTCGAAGCCCACTACGCATCGGGAAGATGTTTAGTTACACTCGGAGAAAGTGTAAGTTGTCACTCGTTATTTTTTGTGACTTATAAAATTCCCTACAAAATTTCCCTGCAATGTATTTCCTGATTGAGAGAATATCTTTTGAGAAACAAGAAAGGGTCAATGAGGCAAATTAGAAGATGGTGTCAAATTACTACAGAAGTTGATTTTGAAATGTAAAGTGCAGACATGACTTCAAAATCACCAAAAAGCCAAGAGACATTCTTCATTTCCTCCAAGCTTAGTACATATACAGACATACAAAATATAAAGTTGTCTAAAGGGAGACTTGCTGTACCTTATGGTGACATTATTTGTTAGTCTCCAACCTTTTTGTGGATGTTGTTCGGCATGTGGCGGTTGGCGTCTGTAACAAATGGCAGGGTGGTGACATTTTGCATGTTAATGCCTTGCAAAGTTTTGCATCATTGTAAGTTTTCCTGGACATATAACTTATCCCTTATCATCTGAAATTCACTAGACTAGGGTTGTGCTCCAATTTCCAGTGCAGGTATATCTGGTTTAATTGGTCTTATTAGCCATTTGCAAATTCGTGACATAGACATAGATATATACTACTTTTGATTTAAGTTTCACATAAAAGGTTCATCAATCACATTTTAGTTTAAGGCCCCTAAAACCCAAAAGTGGGTCCAAATTTTGAAATTTTGAGGCCCATTTTCTTCAAAATTTGGCCTAAAATTAAAAATAAGGCCTCAAAAGACCCAGTAATGATCAAAAAGGCTCACTTTTTGGGGCCTTTTTTGGCCCAAGTTTTTTTTTGAGCCCAAGTTTTTTTCTGGGCCTCCAGGCCCCCCAGCCCCCCCCCTAATCCACCAGTGTAAAGTATTATTCAATTTTTAAAATATTCCATGCCAGCCAGGGTATATGTTTCAGATTACACTGGACAACTCACAGCCGAGGAATATGGCTTCTTATTTCATTGTCAAATGTCGGACATAGTCCAATCAGAAACTGAAAAATATGTCAGTGAATAATAAAAGAATAATAAAACTTACAACTTTACATTTTTAAAAATTACTCAGTACTATCAGTATACACACATTTCATCTTGAACAGAGTTCATATGTTTTTATGTTTTTGGTAGCACTGTCACTCATTTTCGTCTTTTTGTACTTGTCAACTACAGTCCCGACATACTAATACATGTATATATAAGGTAATATAGTGAAGCAGATATGCAATTTCCAAAATAACCCATCTGCCTAAATAAGCAAATATTAAACTATCGTCAAAAATACCAAAATGGCATTTGAGTGAATGTGGTGAATCTGGAATAATGTACAAATCTGTCCCTCTTAATTTATATAATGAAGAACGTTGTAACAATGTTTCTAGCTTATTTATTACACTAAATTACTATGTTACTAACTACTAGTTCTACTGAAAAATTACTTAAGAAGACAGAGATGTCTCCTGAATAGATTTGTTTGGGTGTGGCTATTATTGATACAGCTGATATAGCATTTTATAACTCATAGTTATTACTCAATACAAATCCTTTGTGTTTTACTACAAATATAAAGCACTACGAAGTATTGATGTATGTAAACAGAATACTACAGATCAATATGTTACCCATTCAAGTTATTATTTTCAAGAGCCTTTGATTGCTTTTTGTATGTAGTATGTTATTCTTTTCTGTCTAAAATATGAAAGGTTTCATGTTTCGTGTCATGTTCTTGTTTTTTCTCGAAAAATTCTCTCTTTTTGATGTATTTTTAATTTGAAGTATTATGTATGAACTACTTGACATATTTTATCGTCAAGTAGGAGAAAACCCGATGATTCATAGTTCATGTCATCATCAGAAATCAATAAATATAAACTTTTCGATATCGGATAGATATTGCAGGAATTTTAATATTGTACATGCTGCATTAAATGTGCATGTACCAGGATCTACATGTTATGAATCATTTGTATTTTTTAAATAATCAGGATTTTATTGCGCATACTTACATAGATAAAGGTTTATATTGATTGATAACTGTTTCTCATGTTTACTCATGATACATGCACTTGAGTTATTATGAATTTTTATTTGAAAATGAGTTGAATTTTTCTGTTTGCTGATTGCATAATTAATAACTTCATGCATCATTTTCTTTGTTAAAATGAAGGTGCATGTGTATAAGGTATAACCTTGTATCAGCCAATTTATAGCATTACAAGTTGGAATATAATCTTGTATCTAACTCTGCCTTTCAGCACTTTCTCATTCTATGTTGAAGGATCAGGAATAGGATGAGTTAAACTGTGTTAACCTTTTGAAGCAATGTGTAAAGAGTAAAGTGTTTAACTCTGCTGATTCTTTTGGCTTATTCTGATATGTATTTTTCCAAATGATTCTGTATTAGGGGAAAAGTTTGGTTGGTGGTTCACAGAGAAGCTTGATGCTAGCTAAGGGGGTTTATGCATATAAATTTTTTGTTTCATTTAATGCTTCACGCAGTATGATATTTTCCATGAATATTCCTTGTGTTTTATTGAATATGTATAATTATACTCAATTGGACATGAAAAAATATTCTGTCAACATAATGATTATACTTAAGCCATCTTATGATTTCTTACAATAGGAATTTTATCATCAATTGATATAAAAATATTTCCTTCTGTCAAATTCAAGGGATCTTTACTATTGATTAAAATTTGAAGTGTACAGTATTTGACAATGGATTATCTGATATGAATCAAAATAAATTAGAACAGGAAATGCCTTGACATAGTTTCATTGTTTTTTTTCATCGTACATAGTTTCATAGTGAACTCATAAAATTTCATTAATTTGTATATAAACCTTTAAATTATATACAAACTTGTGTTTTATTAAACACTCATGTATAGTTTCATTTTTCTTATACAGTATAACTTCATTTATCACTTAGTTGGTTTCATTTATAAATATTTATTTTATAAACTGGTGTCTCATTTTATAGAATGCTAGAATATGAGAAAATATGAGAAACCAAGGAAAGCACCTCAACAAAGGTAGTCTATTGAATGGACAAATGTTTAAAGCTGCTCTTTGCCCCGAAACGCAATCTTGGGTTGTTTCGGGGTTGAACTTTATCATTTTGAGCTGAATGAAAGATTGTAGAATGACGAACAAATGGGGCAAATCTTGTGTATAAATACTTACGATAAATGTGTCATTTCAAAGATTTTTCATTGAATTGCTTCGATCGGTGACGACGATATGATTTTGGAAAGGTTTCTAAATTAAGAACATGACGTCACTTCCGAATTATAGCATTTAGCATAAGTAGCATTAAATTACCTCAATCATTCGTAATACCTCGGTGGCCTTGCGGTAGAATGCTCGCTCAGCATGTAGGAGGCCCGGGTTCGAATCTCGCATTCACCTTTTTATTTTTTTAACTAGATGATTGTTCTTTGATGTTACGCAGAAAAAACAATTTTTATTTACATAAACTTTATATTAGAGCTTGAAAATGTAAAAACAATATACGTCAACATATTGCGTTTTGGAGCGATGTGTAGGTTTAAATAATCTAATTATTGAGGAATGGTTATTTTTAAATGCTCATTACATTATGTAATTTAAAGTTTAGTTCTAAAATGTTTAATTATTTGTGTAGTCAGATTAAGGTTCTTACTTACCAAAAGCATGTAAGTGCTGAAAGATCGTCACTAGATTTGCAGTTGTGGTCGGTCATCATCAATGGCATCTTATACTTATTTGAAGCTGGCTAAATGCTTTGTTCTCATTATTTTTTTCAAAGATTGAATAAAGCACATTTCTCTGTGTATTTCCAACATTTGAAATGCTTATAAAGAGGCTCACTACTTAATTGTTCATTTCTAATTACTTTCCATGTTGTTAATGTATAGTTTCATATTCTATTTCTAGTGCTATTCTTATATCATATGCTCTGCACCTATGGCCATTCTCTTAACCCTTTCAAATATATTTCTCACAGACTTAATTGATTTTAACAATGACTATCGGCCATTCCAGATATAATTTCTGATATTTCGACACAGTTCAGACTTTAGAGTAATAGCATCGTGGTTGTTCACGCTCACTTTAATTCTTCTTCTGTTATGTTGAATATAGTATAAGGATTAGTGCAAGAATTAATACAGTTAAGTGTATTTCCATCATGTCTGTGTTCATGTATAATCCCACCAAAGGAGGTTTTCTATACCATCAATCTTTGTGTAAAATGTTCTTAATTTTTATTATTTTATGCAAATTTAACATCATTTCATTTTTTAGATTTTGAACTATTCATTTTTGGTTTTTAAATTAAATGACAAGTGATGAGGCTAAATGATGTGATCTTATACAAATGAATCATGGGATATTACCTTCTTTGTTAATTAAATCATCTCTTATCAATGCATGTCTGCCTATCCCATAATGCACGGGATTAAAAGAAGCAGCCTGGTCAATATTATATTATTTACAGTATTTATTAGATTAGCTTTACTGAGAAATGTTCATGATTGTCATTCAGTTTGAAATTCAATTTGTCATTTGTGTTGATTATCATCAATTATGATAAGTATGTATGACATTATTTTTCCTCTGTGCATCTTAGAAATACGAAGTGATTGTCTAGTTTAGTTAGTCAAACTTTTGTTTGTAGACACCATTTTTAAGTAAAAACAGTGTTAAAATTCCAGTTCCAAGATGTTCCAAACCATTTCTGACACAGACCCTAATTCTAGGTGTATCCATTGACACTGATTATGTTACTGGACCTCTCAAATCACAATGTGAACACTTAATCCAGGCAGTATTCATTTTAGAAAAATAATTCCTTTATTTCAATTTACAGGTTCCTGAATGGAAAGATGCATTGTGGGTAACAAATGGATGGAGGTAACTCAAGGTGAATCCTCTTGGGATACATCATCCTCCTTCTTCCAATGAAGAATTGACATGTGTCCAAATAGCTGTATATGATTAATAAATTACATTGATTTTCTTATGTAACCTATGCAGCATGTATGTCTATGTTGTAATCTAAGGGTGAATCTAAGGTGAAGCAAGATCCCGTTCAAGTTATTTCTCTCCCATCACACCTATTTCTCTATTTACAACCAAAATAGGAATGAACGACACAATTTTTTGTGTTTCTATACGATGAATTTTTGTTGGGTTCACAGGGGTTAATTTTTTCTCTGAGATTCTTCTATATATTGTGTTGGAATATGCTCATCCATTTTGTTATATTTCGTGGAGCATATGCTGAAGGCGTGTTTGGTGCAAGATTCATGTGGGGAATGACAATTAAGCATTCTCATGTTACTTTGATTATTTACGATGAGCTGAATATTAGGATTCCAAGATCGGTGATATTTTGTTGATTTGTTAGCATAAGGAGGTGATTTTGTAATAACGACATAACAGCTTAATTTCTATCTGCATTCTACAAATCAAAAGGATTATCCTCTAAGAGACTATTATCAGATAAGGATATTTTCGTGCACCAACACCTGTTTTAGGCACTTCATGACCACCTATGATCATATACTAAACACTAAAACAATATATGATTCCTTATGATTGGAATTTTGCCTGACCAGCTGATTTATTTATAAACAGTTCCTCAAATGATAATTGATTAAAATTTGAAGTGTTTTCGATAATTGATCAAATACCTGATATAAACTTTGGATCAAAATAAACAAAAATATAGGAAGTAAAGTGCCTCGAGAGATATTTTTGTTACTTCTGTCATAGTAGGAGATAAGGCTGCCAATATGAGGAAATACGTAGACATACGTCAGAGAGTACTGAAGGTAATCCAGGCAGTTTCTTTTTGAATGATGAAAGTATAAGTCTTTAGTTGATTTTCATTTTGTGATGATTTTACGCATTTTTAGGCATTTCTTTCAAGCTTGTTATATCATGGTAACTTTTAACTAGTATTTGGCATCTTTATACTAAACAAATTGTTACACTTTCATAATTTCTTACAGGTTTTGAAATATTTTCATATACATGAACCTGTACACCTGTATACCATTTCTTCAGGAAGGAGAGTTCCTATGTTATCCAGATCATGTCTCAGCTTTAAATAATCCATTTTCATATTTTCTTTGAATTTACAACTTCAAACTGATTTTAAATAATTTTACATTAATGTTACATAATTATGTAATTAATTGTTTGTTTATTGAGTAACCAATCTATTATAGGTTGGTCTGAAATGTAGGTTTACCTTAGGTCAACTGGTGTGACATAGTTTGAATTATATAAATCACATGCAATTCTTGGCAAGAACCACTATCATAAGTTAAGCACTTCTACAAAGGTGGAAAGTTGCTTGATACAGGATTAAACTTCACCTTATAGATATAAATATACAAAAAGAATTGAATTAAATATTAGTTTCGAGAAATATCGTCAGCAAGTAGTTTTGAAGTTATTATCGTAAAATAATTTCGAGAGAAGGCTGCCAAAATGGGTAGACATGGCAGGCGAAGTTTGGATATTTTTAAGGCTAGAATAATGGCCGTTCATTTTAAAGTAAGTTCTCAAACAAGAATTTTTAGAATTTATAATTATCACATGATACAACAAAATTTAATTGTGTTATCTATGATTTCATACTTAAACCTGGGATTTTGAGAATGACTAGCAATATGAAAATAAAAATGACAATGAATGACATTTACTTCAATGATATCAGAGTCATTATCTACGTCATATTTTTCATGTGATATCTATGACGTTAAATGTGTGATATCTATGATGTTAGTTTCTGACATCATTTCATTGGTGCCTACGCTAATCACACCTGTCATAATCATACCTGACATTTAGAAATTTTTTTTGTCATCTACACGACAGGTTTTTCTTGAAGAACTTCATTCTCATTCGATTTTCTTCCTGATTTATCCTATTGTATACACAAAAAATGCACGTCATATTTGCGTTTCTTAGACCTGTCTTTTGTTACTGTGTAATTTCTATAACAATCTTATCATATGCATGTGATATATGTGGTTTTCAATTTGTTTATTTAGTTTACCTTGACATTCAAAATCAATAATAAATCATCATTATTTTTATTCTTTGATTTCATTGTTATTTGTTAATATGCCACATTGTTGAATGTGGGTTTTCTTCCATGTTTATATGAGTAATTTATTGTTCTTAAAAAAACATACGTCCCATGAGTAACTAGTGTCAATTTAAAATACTTAAATGTGATTGGTTCAAATTATCATATGACTATTATAGTGCATGATAGGATTAAACCACCTCCACAAAATAAAGCATCAAGATTCAAACCACATTGTGAGTCACATACTTAAAATCTCATTAAACAAACAAAAAAACATTTCCAATATTTAGCTTTTAGTTCCTGGTATACAGACCAGTCATTTCATTTCAAATAATATCATTGATTCTATTGTATTGTATATACATGTATTAAGCATTTCCCAGATGCCATTAAGAAAATCAACCATTCAGGTTTAACACAGGTGTAACAAGGAAGTATTTGAAGCTTATGTACGTGTATTGTTCTTTATAAAAGCATTAGCAATTTGAATGACGTGATTTTAGCTTGCATGATACATTAAGAAGTATACATTATTGGGAATTTAGTTCATCATTTATTCATAGGGTCCACTATATAAAGTAAGATACTTTTTATTTCTGCATGGAATCTTAAATCAGACGCAAGAGTATCAAAATACATTTATCTACTTTAACATTATTTCAACATTAAGGCATAGTTAAGATCTAAGGTGAGGCATATGTGAATAGGTGGGGCAAAAAATGAAGACAGTTTAATACTATAAGATTTTACTTTTGTTTTCATTTTATTTCATTTTATTCTCAAAGGTTATATCAGCACAAGTGATGACATATTGTAATAGTCTCGAATTTTTTTTATGGATGGTGTTTGGCTGTTGGTGTTTGGTGGTTGGTGCTCGGCAGTTGGCATTTTGCATGTCAATGCCTTGTAACAATTTTCCTTATCTGCCTTATGCCAATTCATGTATATACATGTATTATATATTTATATAGTATTCCATATCAGGAAACAAATGGTATTCAAATGATACATAGAAACAAAAGACAAATGTCGATTCATGTCTTATGTTGCCAATATTTATATATACAGGTATGACATATCTGTTGTTATGTATTTTGACAAGGTGATAATTTGAAGAGGGTTTTGTTCAGATATTTCATGTATAGTGATAAGAAATAACATTGGTTCATCTTTTGAAACTTGTGATAAGATCGTAAATGTTTCTGAAATATGCAGCATATATCAGCTGGAAGATTACAATTGGTAGGTTTTTATTAGGTACTGTTTCTGAGTACTGTTCTGAGTTTCAGTCAGTTGTCATTGTTGCCAAATGTGGATATTTTCTTGTCTCTAATTTATTTGTTTCTAATAAAGAGGTAAAACGCTACTGCGTGCTATCTACCAGGAACAGCCTAATAATGAGTTCTATTCATTTATTTATTTTAACTTGTTGAAATTCATATATTTTCAGAAGAGAGCTGTGATGGTAGCACAGTCACAACAGCCCCATACTTCGAACTACCCCCCAGGATATAAAATGGAGAAGAAAGAAAGTATCCCTCTCGTGACAGAGGAGGCGCGTATGATATTAGAGGAGTTTCTAAGGCGCAATACGAGTAGTACGCAGAGGCAGCGTTCGGCTACCACTGGGACACCACTGGAGGTTATATACGAAGGTCTCGTACCACCCCCTCTAGTGGGAAGATCTAGTAGTTACAGAGCTGCCTCTCAGGAATCTATTTTATCAGACTACGATGGACCTCCACAGAATGGCTCAACAAGCCTCACAAAATCGTTGACAATATCTGCTTCTGATTATAATTATAATAAACGTGTAATAAAAAGGGAATCTCGGGAATCAGGTGATGGAACAATTCGAAAATCTGGTAGGGTTTCTTCTGAGGAGGCGCTCGATGATTCTCCTGATATGGACTTAGGGGGTTCAGAATCAGAAGAAGACGAGACAAAGCCAAGACATAAAAAAAGTTTTTTCAAACGTGCAACTGAGAGACTTCGACAAAGTTTTAGAAAGATGAACAAAGACGATGAAATAACAAAAATAAAAGGAAGTACATCCAAACTTAGTGACGATGGTAATAATCATAAAAAGCCTAATAAGGCGAAAAAAATGAAAAAATCGCGGTCGAAGGAATTGGAAAAAGAGCTACAAGATATTAAAGAAAAAGAAAAACATAAAGAAAAAGAACATAGAGAATCTAAAAAAGAACGTTCTGGTTCAAAACTGTTTCGAAGAAATAGCAAAAGTACAATGAAAAGTCCAGTATCATCTGATAAGGCTTTAACGCCAAATATTGAAGTTGACAGTGCATCTCCCATCCGTACCCCCACTTCCCGGTCTTCATCAATGCGATCGGTGAGATCTGCATCTATCAAAGTCCACTATGAAGAATCATCAGATGACAAAAAACGTAAATCACCCCAGCGTAAAATGTCTTGGAGGGACGGTGAAGCTGGGGGAGTCTTTGATAATATTATCCATAACATTAGAAAAGGCCTTAGAAGGAGAAAATCAAAAGGTCAGTACAATCTTAGATTAATTAATTGAAATTTATAAAACAACCAAAAGGGTGGTCTGAGCATTTCATTGATACTTATCAGTGAGTCAGTCAGTTTATAATTTGTTTTTTCATAACCTGCCAAACTAAGGACATAAAATGTGTGCCATATATCTTGTTCCATATACCATGTACTTAATCATATTTATCTAAGCAAATCATATTCATAGTTCCATAATCATAGGAAAACCTATAAAATCATGAGAAACATTCATGAAATATCCAAAATACATAGATCTTAATATTTCACAGTAAAATGATACTGAATATTGTGATAGTCATGTACTTTTTTATGATACAGCTGATACGCTGGATCTGGTTGTTTTCTTTTTTATCGAGATCAATAAATTGATCTCTATCATGAGTCAGACAGTACATTAATTGCAGACATTTCCTAGGAAGAGCATTGGAAAGCTATTTTTCGCAGAATTATTGATAAATTTCACAATGCAATCATGTACTTTTTTTTAAACAATACGCAATACCAAATATGGCATTGGAAAGCTCTTTTTCGTGGAAAGAATACTTGCTGATAGATTATACAACGCAATATTTTTTTTAACAATACGCAATAAATTTTGAATCATAACTTTCTTAGAACTTGCTCATATTTTCGTTTCATTCTCTTTCAGCGACATGACCAGGTTAACTTTTCAATTAGCTCTTGAACAATAAATGATAAGATTAAATCATTTGAAATGATTTTTTCATAAACAGACAATAAAAGGTCACGATGCCTTTAGCTTTTTATGAATTTATGTTTTCATGACATTAATTTGTAACAGAGGGCAGCAATACATTTGTATTTGAATTTAATGTAGCAAAATTCATATAAGTCGGAAACTGCTAAAATGCATCATATATATTTCTTTTTTTTATTATTGAATCCTTTTTTGCACCAACAAAAGCCAATTTGAGGAAATTTGAGTCCCATGACTGAAAAATAACCACAATTCGGTCATATTGTGGTTTTATGGTTAAATAAATAAATAATGTACTCAATTCTGTGTGTACTTTTCAAATTAGATCATCATGACAAATATTTCTCTGAAATACTGATTTTGTTGATCATAATGTACTTAATCATTATTTCAAAATTTAATTTGATTGGTTATAATTTATAACATTGTGGAAATTGGAAATGCACTAACATCGATTTTTTGGACTTCAACCACACTTCAAATGCGATAAAAGATAAAAAACACCCTCAAACAAAATGCCTAAAAGACACAACAAAATTCTTGACATCTTATGTACCGGATCTATATATTATCAATTTGATGATATCTTATAGTGCACTGGATGTAATGTGACAAATTTTTTCATATTTTTATAATTAGCGGATATAGTACACTGTATAACATTTTACATATCTCAGATTGTAATTAGATGAAATGTCACATATTTTTGATAAGTTCTATTATACCAGATGATATCTAATGATTCAAATTGGAATTATACTTGTATTGCTACTAATATGCAATGTAAATTGGATCGGGGCATGACCTTAAGTTGTTATGGATTGTTGCTGGTTGTTATATAATGTACTGTGTCCTCAGATGGCTTGTAGTTACATGAGTTGTCAATGACGAAATTGTACATATACACTTCTTACTAACAACATATTATTTACCTATATTGTAGACTGTGAACTCAAAATGTGATAATCATATGAATTGATAAATATATATTTATATGTCGAATAATGGAGTCCCATTTATCCAAGTTAACATTTATCATCTCCAAAGCCCAGTAAAATTGACAGAACAGAAACAGAAAATCCAGCAAAATTAGTTTCATTTACAATTTGCAAAGGAATTAGGGAAAGCTCTTCAACGAGGCTTTAAAATTACTATTTAGAATTCTCGACGTCATTATAAATTCTTTGAGAATTCCTCGGATGAGATTTGGATAAATATGATTTTCCCATGCAAATAAATTAAATATTTTTGAAACATTTATTTTAAAAATATTGTCTTCAAAATATGGAAACTGTTTAGACAGTTTTACATTACAGGTGTTATTTACAAATAAATATTTGTAGAGGGAAGAAGGATTGATCATTTTGGATTTATGCCACCATAAGGTCTACAGATTACTTTACTGCCAGAAATCGCGAAGATGTTTGTAATATTCATGTATTTATATAGTAGAGTAAATACCAACAATGCTATATGTCATTTCGGGTCATTGACATTTCTGGCCCCACACTATAACTCCAATCTCAGGTTCTGTGAGATCATGGGCTTTTAATCTATTAATTGAAACCCCATGGTAAAATTCATTGTATCTTCTATATTATGAACTGAGGGTGTCCAGCTAATAGAGTCTAGAGATTATTCCCCTATACTTGTATTCTCCTTGTTTTCTCATAAGCCACTTATCATTATTGTTCAATCCCACGTAGACGTGACATGTATTATTTTCTTTATAGATGGCAGCAGCGGCAGTGATGGATCATTTAGAAGACGTGCAAAATCAAATATTGCCTTTGAGGATCGCATAGATATTGAAAGATCACCAGTGCCACGGCGTCACACAGCCTCAAACAGAAATGATGTCACAACGACCACTACATATCGGCGAATCGTCAGCCAGGAAGAAAGACAAGAAATTGATATAGTTCCATCCGTGCCAACCTCGAGTAGTGATTTTGCAGTAGGTCAGAGAAGTCGTGCGCCAAGTGGAAGTGCTCAAAATGGTCGTAATTCTATGACATTACCTGGCCTTATTGCCAGCCGACCACGTTCTCCTAGTCACCAACGTAGGCCAACCGTTTCCATGGTTACTGAGGAACCGGATGAAGTAGGTTAGTAATAGTTTCTTTTTATGAGCTCCTTTGGTGATCAAACTAAAATGTTGTCTTGAAAAGAATACTTTTAGAAGAAGAATTCTAAAATAGAGAGGTTTTGCACAACGCTTTAGATCAACAAATCTGTAACGCACTTACCAGATTTATGTGTAGTAGTTCACCTAAAACAAGATTCAGTTGCGAATGCATTTTAGCTATAACCCTTTGTGCAAAACCTCTGTAGTATTGATGGATTGATTAATTGTATAGAATTATTAGGACGCTTCATTCTAAATAGAGATTCAACATTTTCCAAATGGGAGGGTATTTAGGAAATGATTTGCTGTTTTATTGCAGACGGTATTGTAGGGTCTGAAATAGATCAAAATAGAGAGGGTACTCTAGTTGGTAGGTTTAAATGCTCTTGCCGCAATGCTTTAAATCACTGGTCCACTGTAGGATGTCGATACTGACTTGATTATTATTTTCTTTTTAGTTGTTTACAATTGTAAATTTCATGATGAAAGCCAGAATTTTTTATGGGAAAATGAATGTTTATCGATATCAAGTGATTTAAGTTCACCATCTTGGATGATACTAACTGCAGTTCGTGTCATCCTGCTGTTGACCAGTGCAAATGATGCATATAATGTTAACTGTGGGATGCTTGGATCGTCTTCTAAACATGTAATCAGAATGCTTCACTTACTATCAGTGTGTGCAGCCAGAGCAACTAGCCTCTGATGAATCTAAATCGCAATTTTTCAAGAAAAATCTCTATGCTTTATACCATGAAAAAAGAATAACATAATAATTTCAATTGCACCTGAGCTAGAAGTGTTTTTAAATGCTATTATTGTTGCTGCTTTAAGCTTTATATATTAAGTATACATGTATGTGCATCACATTCACAGTTATTAATGTGTGGCAATTATGTGTGGCAGTTAAATGTGGCAAAATGTATATTTGGCCAATGAAATGCTTATAGATGTACACATTCTGCTTTTTAGAACCTATACGACCTAGAACAGGTAAATGCTTACAAATTGATGTTTTTATTAATGAATGGTGATTGTCTTGTCTTTCTGTTACTCCATCTTTGTTTTTTCTATTGTATCTCAGTATTCCATCTTAGCTTCTAATGTCTTTGTTTATAAACAAATGGGAGTTATGCTGGTACGGCTACTTCAAAGAACCAAACTAACAAACAAACAAAATTGACGGACCCATAAAGGACAATATTTATCTGTTGCATGCTTTCTTTTAATAATATTCCTCCAAAAGCCCTTACAGATTAATTGTTTGTTTAGCAGTGCATACCATGTCATCCCAAGAATTTTTCATTCAAAAATTCCTGCGAAACAGATAATTAATTTGTGGGGGCTTAACCCTATAACACTGGGTTAGTGTTCATCATTTACATAACTGACTATCTAGTCATCAGCTTACCTTTTCCCAAGATATCCATCTGTCTTGTTAGCCATGGTTATGTTACAAGGATGTCTAAAGACAATTTTTTCTTTTGAGATATAATGTGATTTTCAGATAGCTGTTTGGGGTGCTATGATAATACTTACATTAAGTCATAGCTTTGTATGTTGTAAACTCCTGTAGATATGCGTGTATTCCGCAATGATGGCATTTTTATCCTCGGGTAGATGTGTTTTTAAGCATGTTATATAATGCACAATATTTTGATTCATATGATATTTTAATTCAATATTTTAATTTATTCCTTTTATTCATGTATAAAAAGTGCTTTGTTTTGTGTTGCCTAGACTAAGTCTACTTATTTTTTGAATCTTGTTGCAGTTTAAACATATTTTGTAATTGTTGTAAAAATCATTTACCTTTTCTAATCGATTTTTTTATTCTTGCAGATAGTTTGCCGTTTCATGAAAAAACTGAAAAAGAGCGAGAAGAAATATTGGAAAGAGTTGCTAAGCGACTGGCAGCCATTGCTGATAATTATGTTCTGAATGCACAGGTGTCCCCGGCAGATCCCTCTCCAAATATGGCAGCTGCTGCCGCTGGTGGTAAGTTAAAAATGAGGAATGAAAAATGGAATGTACAACTGAGGCCAACATTTTAAATCTTTTTGATGGTAAACTAAAATTTTACAGATTACTGAAAGTGGGATACTATTTTGGAAAAATTGATTTTTCAATGGGACCAAAGTCCAATGCCTTCACACTGCTAGTGAAATCTTTGCAAGTTTTTTCAAAAAATGAGGATACAATCTTGCCCAGATTCACATTGCCATTTGAAACGATTGGTGACATCCCGTCTAAAAGAGTTAGTTGTTTAATCAATATTTTTGTTTGAAAGTCAGGATATACGCACATTCCTCTGAAGGTTCCAAGCTGTGTGAGCACAGGACCGTTGGTCCTTTATCTAATTAGAAACAGGAATGAAATTAATGGAAGGAACTAAAATTTAATATTTTATCATGATTATTGATTCTTCATTTATTACAATACAGAATATTACTAGTCAATTGAATACTGTTTTTAAGTTTATTACCACAAAATTTGTACATATCATATACATGTATATCTGATTTCTAGATGAGAGAACCACAATGAGGCTGAACTCTCTGGAACGAAACATCGTTGACGTGCTCCGGGACCGAGGTGATGAAATGACTGAATCGGTGAGCTATTTTATAATATGTTCTTCAACTTTTAACATCAATGATACTTCTCCCATGTTAGGTTGATTTTGCTTTAGTTTAGTTTAGTGGTGTTCACAATGAAAACACTTTTGTGAATCATTACTTAGTAATGAGTAGATTTTAAAGGAAAGAAATGTAATGAGTATGTATGACTTATGAATCAATGTAAAAATTATCTTTCATTTCCTTTTAGATGACATTACCAACAGGTGCAATGTCCAACCTTGCATCTGGGATGGTCGACAACTTAAGTTATGGAACCTTTGACCATGCCATGTCACAGGTCGTGGGCCAAGAGCCAGGCTGGCAGCAGATTGGGGTGTTGTTTCAGCTAACAAAGGCAGCAGTCAATGTGGCAGGAGCGGGAGGAACTATGGCCCGGACAATCAAAGATATGAGTCTCAAATACTTTGAGGATAAATTCGCTGGTTGGCTTGTTACTCAGGGTGGATGGGTATGTGAATACATGTAATATGAACTTGAACATGTATTTTTCTAGTTTATTTATGTTTTTTATATTTTTCGCAAATTCCATGATGGTATATCAATGTTTTTGTCTCATTGTATAAAAAGATTAAAGAATTGCATGGACATTTCTTTCATTTTATTTAATATCTTGAATGTTGCCACTTTATGAGTTATTATCCATACACAATGTTTCATACTATCAACTTTTTATTCTACTCAGATAAGTACTCAGATTTAATCTCTAATTCTGCCTTTATAAGGTATAGTTCCAGAAATTATTTTGTTGTCTTTCATTTGTTCTATCTCAGTAAATGAAACAAGTTTGTGATTTATATTTTTCAGGAATCCCTCACAGATGCGGAATACACAGATTCTGAACTAGACTGAGGAGATCCCAGAATTCTGTGAGAAACATCATGCGCTGATTGGCTGTCTCAAGTCACATGATCAGATCTGGGCCCTTACAGCTGGAACCTCTTTTGACTGAAGATGAAATTCACATAGTGTCTTTCGTACAATAGAGACATTTATTGAGCACATAAGTGAAAACATTTCTCCAAACAATGCCTGTTTTACAGAAGGAGGAAGTAATCAACAGTTTATTTGGAAAAAATATCAAACAGAATATGTTTTAGTGGAATCATTGATCATGGTGTACTTCATGTGCCTACTATAGTTGAGAAACAACATATGATAACATATGTAAATTGCGATTACACAGTGCCACTCAGAATGGAAGTGATATATATGTACAGTATAAGATTTTATATGTACAGTATAGGATGTTATATGTACAGTATAGGATGTTATATGTACAGTTGTTCAGTTCTGTGGGAAACAGATAACTATTCGAGGAACTGAGGAACCACTAAAGGAAACAACAATGAGCTAATCTTGTAATGTAAACAAAAATACTTAAGTGTTATAGTATAAGATTTTGGAGTTTCTTGTTAGTTGGGGCAGATATAGAGTTTAGGGGTGTATCGTTCATGTATTCACATTACATGTATTATTAAAATATACAAAAATTTTGCACACATTTTTTCATTTTAATATTACTTACAAGTGTGTTTTCTCATGTTGCATGGCACAATCAATTTATTTGCATATCATATATGGTACCACTGATATTTTATTTAAACATTTCAAATTCAGTTTTGTTTTAGATCAAGAGATCTGGGAAGCCACTGGTAGTGTTAAGGTAGTTCCACATTATGAGGATTTTTATGTTATCTTCATGCTTACAATTATCGATGATAGTTAATGAAATTAGTAATATTTAATAAAAAGATTACGTAGATAATTACACATTACCATGGGCTTTCAACTAGTTGAAAGCCCATGACATTACTATAGAATACATACCATAGTTCAACATTTAAATATTTTGTTAAAATATTGTTCTAATGATATTTCCACAAATAATTTTTCATTTTTGGAGAACTACCTTAAGTTATATATATGCGTGTATCCAATACATGGATATTTCTCAAAATATCTCCAGAAATATATTGCATTCATAAAACTATCCAAACGAGCAGAATGAATGAATGGAATCTTGAAAATTGTTTTTAAGTCTGACTCTCATATAGTAAACGAGTATTTTAATCTTATACTTAATTAACATTTTATGCAATATATGACAGGAAGTGACAATCAACTTAGCTGTGCCTGCCATCTATATATTCAAGTCACTGGCATAATCCCAAATTCAGAGTAAAACGTCAAGTACATTTATTGGCGATTAAACAATTTTAATCCAATAGAAGACTTTCTCTTCAGTTGGGAAAGACTAGAGTACCATCACATATGTAGAAAACTGGTATAAAAATATAAAAAATTTAAATTTTTTATTTATCAAGTATTTTCAAATCAAAAAATATCTGTGATTTTGTTCTTCCTAGGTGCTAGATCTAACTGTCATCAAGTGTTTTCAAACCACCTGCATGCATAAGGTTAGTCTGGGATATACTAAACTGGAAACAGATAACAGCATATCATATTGTGTACAACGAGGAATACTTCTCAAGTATAGAATCCTCATAATTATTTATTTGTTTCTACACTTTTGCCAGACATGACAAGATTGTATTACATGTATTATGTTTTATTTGCAATATTGGAATTACAGGGTGTTTCTAATATGCAGTATTTAGTTGTTTAGTTGATACCCGTCCAATATACCATTTGCTCATCATGTTTATTTATGTAATTTAGTAAGGCCTCTATATCTGCCATATGTCTGTACAGTAGAACTTGTCAAATCTGAATCTCACTGGGATTGCCCAATAGTGTTCGGATTGGCAAGCATTCACACATTAGTAAATGGGAGAATTTACTAAATTGAGACATAATTGAGTCTGACATATGTAGAGTATAAATTCATTTTACTTATGCTATATAATATCCTTTAGCAGTTCATTCATTTTTTATTTTCCAGATTTTATTCAGCATATATAAACTTTTGGCCTCTTTTTGATTATTTTACATCCTCTGTTTTTTGAGAGATATTGCTACCCATTGTGCTGTCATAAATGTATATTGTATTGCTTTATCTTGTGCACACACTTCTGAAATTGTGCTACGACAGGATTGTTTTGAAACAACATGTTTTACTATATCTAGTATATATATTGATCTTGTAGGGCATATTCTAGGTATCTATTTATTTACCATTATTCTACATACACTGTAGTAGAGGAACTTTAATTTATTGAAAGGATAAAATTAATTTAAGAGGTGTAATTAAAAATCAATGTGATGCAATTCAATTAATTTGTAAAAATAGATTAATATCAGATTACATGTTGTATTTTGATGATGAAAATAAATGTATTTTTTATTTAAAGTAGATAAAGTTTGAATTGTTGATTGTTGCTTTGGAGACCATAATTTGAACCAATCAGATGTTATCAAAAAAATATGTTCTCCCCTTAATTTCGTAAGTATGAAATTTGGTGCATGAAAGTGCATCTAATTGTTGCTCCATGAAGCCTAGTTTGAATGTGCTAAAGAACAATTCAGGCATCATGAAGACAAAAATGTTATGCAACATAATGTGGGAGACTAAGGGGAGAACATATTTATTTGACACACTGTATATCGTCATGTCTAATGCAATTTGGCATGTGTGCAGGCATGCGCCTCCTTAATCTCTTAATCAAAATTCCTGGAAAACTGCTTGATAGTACCAAGATCTAATTAGATTTTAAGCATGCTATATATATCATGTAAATTACATGGTGGCCATTTTACTCTTCAAGCTTGTCAAAGTGAAATATTAAGCATTGTGTCTTGTTAACTCATTTTTTTAATGAATGGGCACAACTGAGACACATTGTGCTTACAGTTGACATCCCAATCAGCATCTGATCAAAAGACGAGTTCAATATATGGACCTCAAGTCACATATTGAATTGTCAATTTCGATGAATAAACAATTATGAGTTATGACTTCTTCCACTCAAGATTCTATTTTTCAAAGCTCTACAAGTCTCTGAAAGGAATATTATCTAGATATGGAGCAATTAAGGCGGGGGGGGCAGTAAGTTGATACGAGACCAGTGACAGACTCCAATGTTGCAAATTCCTTGGGATTTTTTATCAAGTTTTTAGCAAAGGTGAAAATTCGCTTTTTCAAATTAAAAGCTGGAGCCAAATTAACTATTTCTATAGTAGTAAAACCTTCTTATGTAATAATCACCAGAGTTTAGGCAGCTAGAGTGGATTCAGTTTTCCAACAAAACTGATGGGATAAGTCTGTAAGTTGGATATTTAGTAATACGAGAAGTGCTGAATAAAGAAGATAACAGGACAAGCGGTTTCTAGTACAATTTTATTTCATAAGTGACCTCATTTTTGTACAATGGGCAAATGTTTTTCAATAACAATGCATTTATAACCATTTAAATAAATCTTTTTGTTGCTATAATGACATAGATCTGGTCCTGTGCTATATAAACTCAATATTTCTTTTTGCAAGAAATTGGTCAAGAGAAACATTAGAAATCCTTAACTTTACAATTATTTACAAAAATATAATTCTCCATTAGATTCTCTGAATTCCATTCACATTTAACATGTACAATATATTTAACATGTACAATATATATTCAACAAGTACAATTATATTTAATAATGTACAATGATATACCCTACAATCCAAATGAATTATCATTCAATAGACAAGCATTTTTATCAGAATATATGGATCACTCCTTGTACAATGAATTACTATTGTACAAATTGCGTAGCAACCAAAAACAAAAACAGAAGTTCATTATAAATGTGTACATCAGAACTAAATTTTCTCATATGACTAACAAAGATACAGCCATCTTTACCCCATGCAAGATATTGCCATCTTTCATCCTAAAAAGTCACACGTGCAAGATGAGATTTACTTGTGACATCACTGGTCTATAAACATTAACAACATGGAAACGGACACACCATTGCTATGAGTATCCATGTTAATTCTACAAAACTAAGATGTGACGCCATAACACGTTGCCACGTGTATCTATGTATTTTCTTCAATATTGTTATGACGTCATAACAATTGAAAGATAAAGATCAATTAATTTGAAGCTATTTTTCACTCAGTATTATGATAAAATGGTGAAAATATGGCATAGTCATATGTGAAAAACTTTCTTGTACTTGTACCTGTGCAATATCGTCCATTCTTGACTCGCTTTGATAATGTTTCTTTATCTCGTCTTCGACCGATAAAGAAGAATTATCAAAGCTCATCAAGAATGGACGATCTGGCACAGGTACTCATATAAGAACCTCTATATAGGTTCAATTTACATTAAGACATGTATACTAGAACTGTATAACAGTGTCATGTAGGATAGATATGTGTATCAAAACTATAGAACTTATTTATAAGTTATGGCACTATAATGAGAAATGTTGCCTAACTTCTGCCGATACAAGCAGACCTTAGGGGACCCTATATTTGGGCAAGAACGAAGGCATATTTCATGGCATAGTGACATAACCTATGTATAACATACTTCTATTCCCATGGCTACCTTGTATCAATGATGTTACACATCTGTGTGCACATATAATTTGGTAGAAATGAAACGTCATAATGTTGTCATGGTTACTAAAGAAAGCTGTCTTTCGATTAATATCGCAAGTGGCAAAATATTGGTGGATATCGCTGCTTACTTTCCCATCGACTTCCATATAAACGTTTCGCTGGGTTTGTAATATAATGCAGTATAGATTCAACTTACATTAATTTTTAATACATGTATATCAGAACTATAGACCTATATTAATAGATGGCAGCTTTTTTAGCTGACATCCAAAATGTCACTTTACAAGCAGATCCACAAGATGTCATTCCTCAAACAAAAGGTTCATATTTATCACCCAGATATCGCATTCTATGCTGCCTACATTAAAGCCTACATTAAAATGTTATTTTTACAATGAGTGTCTATAAGAGTATGATAAAATTATGGTCATTAAATACTTGGCAAGATATAGTGCTGCGCAGCCTGTGTATCACTTTTTCTCAGACCTAATATTTATATCTCCCTTTGATTCACATTTAAAAGAACAAGGAAGAGTGAACAACTACTAATCCAATCAAATTCTGGCCAGTTCCAGAAGTGTTCAAATTAGTCTGGTTTTATTATGGGTTCCAATAAGCTAAGGTGGATCGAGACTGATCATCTGTAATTTGTCCTGATAACTTATTCTCCAAGGCCTACCTTAATGTTTAACAATATTATTAATAAATACATTTTTTAGTAAAGAATTATTTGTAAAAAATTAAAGTTTATAATCACAAAGACATGATAAATTATTCATCATTAAAAATCAATCCGAATCTGAATCATGCTCAGTCTGCGTCGCAGCTGTTCGCCTTGTCCTCCTTAGGGAGGTTTGCGTCGCAGCATGGCTGATACGATTTCTTATCCGTGATTGTAGTGTATCCTGATGAAGACGTAAAGTAAGATTACGACGCACCGCTGATGATGTGCCAATCTTTGTCTCAGATTCAGAGATTGGATAACTGGAATAGAAATTAAAATAGTTTTTAGATACTTAGTTAATTCTGACTTGTGAATCTAGGGCGAATATATAAATTCCAGTTTATCCCATTTTTATGTGATGCATGAATAATTCATGATCATAATCAAACAATCCATGAAGCATATCTACCACTTATATAGGCATTATTTTTAATAATTTTTGAGTGATGCAAATGTATCCTCAAAAAAGAGGGTAGGACATTGAATTAATCCTCGATACTGCAGTAATCATTAAGTTTTCACTTGAAGTATAAGCTACTGAGCCACAAAAAAATCTGATTTTTTGGTACTTTGGCTTAGATCATTTTAAGAGAGGTAAATATATCCCCAAAAAAAGAGGGCAGTACATCTAATCTCATGAATTAATTCTCACCACTGTAAGTGTTTTAGTATTCATATGAAACATTAATATAAAGCTATTGAGCCAAACAAAAATAATTTTTTAAATGAAACCTGTTTTACATACCTTGGCTTGGGCCTACATATACTTAGATGTCCTTTGTTAGTTCCATAGACGATTCCCTCCCCAGGGCCTGGCAGCCATCTTGCTGAATTGAGGCTGAGCCGTGTACGGTGGTCATTACTGCTACATGGATGACAAATATCTGTTACCAGCTGAAATTTTAAAGCAGTCTTTTTTAAGGATCATAGCTCACATTAATATTATATTTCTAGAATTGATGTACAAGTATTTATTGCTGAACAATGAAAATTAAACAAAAAACCAAATTCATATATCTAACTTCTACAACATACATTTAATACAGCATCGCCTGGGTAATTTTTCAAAGGAGAACAGTTTCATGGTTCAGCTATGACTAATGTCAATTCTCTAAGAATACATACCCTCATTGATTCCTCTCCCTGGTCACGATTCTCCAGCTTATATATCTGTGCAATGACTTGCTCCTGCACAAAGCTCCATGACAACCTCTTAGATGCTAGACCAATCAGGACGTGGTCGTCCATTGGTGAAATACTGAGTGACACAACATTAGGCCCTGGAATATCAATGATTACAATCTTTATTCACTGCACAAATATCGATATTAAGAAAAGTTTATTCATATACACAGAAATAATTCAAATGAAAAATATATGAAAGGGGCTGGAAATAAGTCTCATACCTATGTTGGGACCTCTCAATTTACGCAAATACTTTGAGAGTCATTCTATCAAAATTATATTTTAATCTGGGCTCAGGGATTGGATTTCAGAAGGAATATAGGCTACTTCTTTTATCAATGTTATTTTTTGGAGTTTTGAAAAGGTTTATGGTACCTGCAATTTTCTAGAAATTACACAGGGAACAATCACATGTTATATTTATTGAAAATCTTAAGATGTCATAGTATTAGTGAAAGCTGAAATTAACCACTGTTTTCTGATATATTATATAATTCTAATAAACATTTGTTGACAAGTACTTTATATCTCAACAATACTCACCAAAGCATTTAGTAAACAAGCAATGTCCAAAGTTATCCTTCTCTAATGAGTACATTGCTAGGATTGTATCGTCAGGGAAACCTCTGTGACTGGGAACAAACGTTGCGAGCATTCTGCCACTAGAGGAAATATCCACACTTGCGTCATTGTGAATGTTGCAATGTGGTACAACCATTCCATCCTCCACTGAAAAATAATGAATTAACATTGTGAGAAAATATTTTCTAAGACATATTTAAACTTTAGTTGAGTGAAACCATTTACTCATGTATAGTCAAGGTTAATTAAGAATGATAACTTTAATTCAAAGACCCAAGTGAAATACAAATTTTCCCTTTTTACAAAACCATTGAATAATGTTGCAAAATGTTGATTTTGATATTGGTTTGGATCTTTTCTTTAAAAGCTGTGAGACTTATTTTTAAAAAAAGAAATTCAAAAACACTATCTCAAGACTAACCTCTTGTGAGATCTGGAGGCTGAAACTGTCGGAAGTCCCACTGTTGGATTCTATATGTTACATTGATAATATTGCTAGCTACTGCTGCTTCTCCTGAACCCATGAAAGCACCTGGAATATAGAGGCCATCAATAAAGCATGGCATAAATAACTCAATAACACATAGCATCACATAGAAGTCATTAAGCATGCAACAAAACAAGAGATGAGTTGGGAGAATCTTTAAACATTTTTTGACTTGTAAAATTGTATGTACATGTATGTCATCTTTTTCTATAAAGTTGAATGATTCATCTGAGTTTGAATTTGTTTTTCAGCCACCCCATTTCTTTGAGGGATGGACGAACCTGCGGAACTTCCACCAGATGCAATACCTGCTATTGCTCTGTTGATAGCTGACTGTAAACCATCGTCTGGTCTGTTCACTGTCTCGTCTAGGATACTGACAGCATAATGAGGATGTAGATGGCGCCTCTGAAGTGCATGCAAGTGGCGGTCACGCTCAAGTTGCTCCTGGCGACGTCTTGAAGCTTCTGTTCTCATCCTGAAAACAAATTTTGATCACATTAAAAATATAAGAAATAATATTCATTCAATATCATAACAGCTACCTCTCTGGTAACACAGGCTTGACAATTATAGTCCTGTTACTGTTTTTATGTTGCTGTTTTTCAAACAACTAATGAGGTAGAAGCCTATCCCTCAAAAACATGAGGTAGGTTTAAAGTTTCATAAATTCAGTAACCTCTGATCTAATAAAATAAGAAATCCCTGAATATACTTACAACTGTATTTCCTCTTGAAGCTGTCGCCTTCTGACTTGTATTGTCATTGAAGGGTAACTAGCGCCATCTAGGACATTCTGGCTACGTCGATACTCTTCTCTGAGGCCCCTTAGTTCCTCTTCTGCGCTAGAGACTCCAGAGTTTGCGTCATAATCTGGTTGGGTGACAGTTATATTAGGTATGGCTCCAGGAGCTGCAGATGGATCTTGGTAAGGTTGACGTAGACCACGTCTCAAAAGACGATTTTGGCGCTCCAAGAAACGCTGCCTGAATGTTGGAATATTAGATGGCCGTGATCGAGGCTCTCTTAATCGGGATGTAGTAGGATTATCATCGAGTTGTATATGTCGACGTACTTGTCTATGTACTTGATCTCGAATCCACCGAGATCTGTCTCCAGAGTTGGATAATCCAAATCCAGGGTCAGACTGACGAACATTATCATCTGGTCGGACATCTTGTCTCATAACCTCTATTGGAAATTCATTGACATCATTTGAGTTATCATGCATTCTTGACACTTGTGAGGCCACCAGTGAAGTCAGTGGTGGGGGGCCTGTTGAAACAGCAGGGGAACTATTTTCTATGGGACTGGGACTACTTACAGGTGGGATACTGGTCTCTGGAACCGGTGGAGGGGTACTAGATCTTCTCAATGGTGGGCGTAAATTGGCTCTACTGGGTGCTGTAAAGTTACCACACATTACACAAGTATCGCGTTGGTTGGTACTGTTGTGATCACCATTGGTGCGTGTATGTGTATGCTCTTGTAGCTGGGACATAAGCTGACTTCCCTCCGTCATTGATGGATCCTGAGAAGCTATATTTGGAAAGGCAATAGGTGTCATGGTGGTGGTAAGTGACGTTGGAGTGCTGATAACAGATGGAGCTGGCCTAGGGACACCCAACTGGGATCGTATAATAGACTCAATTCTCGACTGCCTGGAAACTGAAGGCTGCCTCAGTCTGGGCAATTGTCCCGGGATCATACGTGGTTGTGGAAGAGTTGGTAACTGACGACGTCTCTGTGCACTGCCTTCTACCCCCGGACCTTCTAGTGACTGTCTAATGATTGTATCAAAGGCATTATCTCGTTGGTTTACAGTCTGCTGTGCAAGATAATTCTGCAGTTGGGTCATTGGTTGTGCAGTTGAAGTAGTTGATGTTATAGTTGGGTTGTTGTTATCTACTGATTGCTGACTTTTCTCTGTGATAGATCGTTGCTGTTCAGGTTTAGGAGTAGTTAGTTTAATCACCTTAGGACCCTCTCCCACTGAAGGCCTGTCACTTAGTTGAGACCTGAATAGCGACGAAAGTGTCGGTACGTGGGTACGGCGTGCAGCAGGTTTTCCCGATTCACTTGAACTTACTGTAACTGAAATTGAACTACCAGAAGATGTTACCACTGCCTCATTTGATGAAACAATTGTTATTGCCTGGCTGCCATGGCCAAGTGCCGCAACAGCTAAACTCTCAGAACTTGGGTTCGATCGTGTCATGGCAACTTGTCCTGTTGCATGATGGGAAGATATAACCGTGATACCATGTTGAGAATTGCTGGTGGAACTGGATGATGTTGTCGAGGAAGATTGATCTAACTGACGACGAAACAATGCAGCAATTCCTCCATCGGGAACTTTCATCTTGCTACCATGTTCATGTGTATCAGAATCAGAATTTGGTCTTTTTCTTGATGCACTAGTGGCTTTTGTATCCCCAACATTGGTGTTATTCTGACTAGATTGTGCCTCAATTTTAGGAGTTTGCTTTTCACATCCAAGTGGATCTGCCTCATCGGCTGGATTGTGTGATTTTTCAACACTTTTAGAGTCCTTATTTCCACAGTAACCTCTTGTTGAAGAAGTACTTGGTTGTACATTGTTACTGCTACTCTGATGTGCACTGTTATATGAATGTGCATTGCTCTCTGAATGTTTACTACTGCATGCTTGTACATTGCTACTTGTATGTACATTGCTATTTGTATGTACATTGCTACTTGTATGTACATTGCTACCTGTATGTACATTGCTACTAGTATGTACATTGCTACTTGTATGAACATTGCTACTTGTATGTACATTGCTACTTGTATGTACACTACTACTTGTATGTACATTGCTACTTGTATGTACATTGCTATTTGTATGTACAGTGCTACTTGTATCTGCATTGCTACTTGTATGTGCACTACCATCATTTTGTTGTTGAGATTCTTGTGTCCTATCATCCTCAATTATAACACCCAACATCTGGGATAATGTACTACAACCTCTGGGCCGCTCTGTCCTGGGACCAATAGACCTAAGTGGCTCTATATCAGATACAGAAGTCCTTTGTGATCCAGTCACAGGTACTGAAGCCCCTGATTGGTCTAAACCAGGAAGTGTGCCATATACATTCCCACTTGAAGTTGGCTGTTGGCTGTCTGTAGCTTCGATATCATCACTGTCAAGATTTGAACTGTCAGTTGGGATATCTAAAGTAATAGGAGTGTCCTCAGATTCTGATGACTCTAGACTGACTGCTTCGGTTTGTCTTGCTAGATCACCAGCTATCAAACTGGAAGATGCTTGTTGGTGGCTACTGGAAGCCCGCTGTTCTTGAATAGTACTCATTGCCGACTCAGCCTCATTGTGAGATGTAGCCTCATTCTGAGCTAGCTGGCCTCTTCTTGTACTGAAGGATACCTCGGCTGCGTATTGTCGAGCATTTCGCAATCCAACTGATTCTTCAAGGGTTGGGTCGGGGAGCTCATCTTCTGAACTTGTTGATGGTCTATTCAGACGTCCTGGAGGATACAGAAATGATTTTTAGAGGGCATGACTTAGTGATGACAAGGCATTTATTTGCAAAATGTCACAACGCTGAACACGAACTGCCAAACACAAGCCACTGAAACCCAAACACCAACCACAAAAAGGTTGGAAACTATAACAACATGTCATTACTTGTGGTGACATATCACTTGTGGAGGTGACATAACAATTTCTTTAGCAAAAATAACTGATGAATGATTTGGCCCTTCCCCACTCTTTGTTAAAAATTATGGATGGTGAAGTGACTTTTGGGTAAAATGAATTCATACTAAATGTCAATATATTTTAGCTAGATGAAATTTGGCTTTTTATGCAATTGAATTATTACTTTTCAATAACTGCTGATGTACAGGCCACTCCTTAAAAGCAGACAATACATTGATAACATTATTTCACTTACTGTAAATTCTACGAGCCTCATCCGGAAACATCCCACCATGAGAATCAGCCTCATTATGAACCTGGTTGCTATGCATTTGCTGATATTGGTCCATCATGCGCTGGTACTGCCACTGGAGCCGTCGTCTTTCAACCTCATTTTGGCGCGATGATGGGCTTGAGTTGATGTAGCTAGAAGTAGAGTAATTATTATTATTATATCCTAATGGAATTTCACTCATGTACTGTATAGTTCTTAATTGTTCTTAATCATTGAAGACAATAAGTGGTGGCGATATGAAACAAAGAGGACACTATAGTGTCACTTGAACCATTAAAATGCAAAAAACTCCCATTATCACAACCTTTTGATTTATGAACATACAGGGTGTCCAAAAAAAACAAGACCGTAAGAAAGTTGAATAACTCGGTTAATTTTGCATATTTTGCCTTGAAATTTTAGAATCATTTAGTTCATTCAATGTGAATTTTGTTCTGAAAGTTTGACGATAATCTGTTTATTGTGTCAAAAACTACAGTACTTTACAAAACATGCTCAAAGTGGGCACTTCTCCTCTCTATGCACAAACGAATCCTGCGAACAAAGTTGTTAATGACCCTGACCTATACAAATTAATGTGGATGGTAAATATTGGGGTCGTTATTGCCCTCTTAAGATTGTTAGGGGCCTGTCAGTATACACATTGGCTTTGAGAAATCCTCAAAGATAAAAATTTGGGGGATTTAGATCAGGCGAATGAGGTGCCCATATGGTTTGCGTTCTGCAACTGATGAGCTGACCACCAAAGCATTCCCTAAACCATTTCAGCATATCATTTGCAGTGTTGGGGTGGTATTGGCTTGTTGAAACCACTGCTTAATTATCTCCTTAGATGTCTTCTCTGGTGCTTAGTGACCTCCAAAACTTGGTGAGAACTTACTGGTCCTTGTTCATGGTGATAGCACGTCCCCAGTCACCTTCGAACCAAAAGGGACTGATGATTCCATGTTTCCTCATTGCCACCCAGGGAGTGCATTGTTCAGAATGCAATGGGTGCTGTAACACTTCATCAGGAGGATGTAAGCCCCAGTAGCAATTGTTCTTTGAACAAACTTGTCCATTCAGAAAGACATGTGTGTAGGAGGATCATCAACAACTTTGTTCGCCGGATTGAATTGTGCATAGAGATGAGAGGTGCACATTTGAGGCATGTTTTGTAAGAAGCTGTAGTTTTTGACTCAATTGATAGATTATTATCAAACTTTTACAACAAAATTCACATTGAATGAACTAAATAATTCTGAAATATCAAGGCAAAATTGACCGAGTTATTCAACTTTCTTACGGTCCTGTTTTTTTTTGGACACCCTGTATAACATTAGTTTTACATATAAACCAGATAGTGGATTCAAGGCAACTCCCATTAGTATGGTCCCTCAACTAGCATTATTCCTTCAGATACAATCCATATCTTGTCCCTAGTATGAGATATCTATATAGTGTTATTAATACCTGATCTGAGACATGGACACAGAACCATCCGCATGTACTGTAGATCCGTTTGCTATACCTGTGTATAGATAGTGCCCAAGAGGGTCAAACTTTACCCATCTACGAAAGAAAAAGAAAAAGAAAAAGAGAAAACATAAATATTACAATATATATAATGAAAATTTAATAACTAGATACAGTATTGTTGTTGCTACATCAGAGACAGTGAGATCAAAAGCTGTCACAACTATGATGTCATTCTACACAATTAAACAAACAGAATTTTACACTGTCTTTATTCTAAACAATTCAATTCCTCATAGGAAAGAAGTCTAACAATTTGTTGTTTTAAAATGTTGACTTTAATCTTATGCAATCACTTAATATTGGAATATAATAATTACATATTATATAACATAATGAATTAAAATGAACATACTTGACTTTTTCGAAGATTCGGGCAGTCTTACACATCATAAATGGTTCAGGCCGCGACCAGTCCCAAAAGTGAAGCTTATCGGACATAGCGATGACCAAAACTTGATCTGTTGGGTGAAATGCCAGTGAGGAAATTGCAACCTCATCATTGGGAGATTTCCACACTTCAGTACCACCTCCCTGGAAAAATATAGGACCATGGAAAAGTTGGTGTATCATACCTTATAAAATCACACATTTTCTGGTAAATGTAGAGGAAAATTTTGAAGTGTTGACAGAATGATTACAGTCATTGAAAGATGTCAGCACAGCATTAATTTAGACATAATTCAATACTATGCTCCTTATACTACACAGGCCTTTTAATATCATAAAGTAACAACTGAATATATTCAGACATGATATTGTTTTAATTGTATCGATAACAATTCATTATTTTCCACAAATACTATGTCATTAATCTGCCACATCACACTGTTACAACATGAATACATAATCATAAGATTGAAATGAAATATCATGGTTCAATAAAGTAGTATTAACATACATGTAGATCCCATATCCTGACTTCCCCATCAAGACAACCAGATGCTACAAGATGATTGGACGATGGGTGAAAGGCAATGCACCAGGGCGTCCTTGGGTGTCCCGTCAGAATATGTAGACATTTACCAGTAGCAACATCTGTAATCCTTACACTATGGTCACCATGGGTGGATGCAATCTTTGTCCTGGAAAACATAAGAAATCAAACCATAATCATTTTTATGAACTTAAAAAGCATATTCAAACACTTTTTTGTTTATTTCGATGTAGCTTTTTTAGGGTTGTTTTTATTATGTAATAATATGGTGATGTTCAAACTTAGTTTCTTGGTTCAGTTTGTGTTTTAGTCACCATAGCAACAAGAACCCCCTTCTATTAGTTAATCAATCTCAGATCCCAGGATTCTTACAACTGAAGAATAATTACAGGCTGACTAATTATGATGCATGGACCAGGCTAGTAGAAAAGGCTACTTTTAGCTGAAGGTTCATCCTAGAGACAATGTGGTAACTATATATAAGCTACAAGCCTCTAACTACCATCTTGATTAATCAGGTAATTTATGAATAAGCCTGGAAGTACCACTTATGCTAACCCATAACCTATGTAATGTTTCTGTCTGTTCACAGTTTGCTATTGTAACCATAGAATGCAGATTATTATTAGTCATGTATTGAAATGTATTTAATATATGTATAATTATAAGATTTATGTTCTGTGAAAAAAGATACAATTTTTACAACAGTTTGAGCACTTTACATCTTACTTTATGACCATCCTGTAGTAGGAAAAGATCTCACTTTTATCTGTATTATTGAAAAGTGACAGCTTTCTTTCTATTTTATCTATTCTGCAGATAGAGTACTATAGAGTCTAGATTGTTGTTATTAATGTTTCATTAAATATTAATTTATCATAAAGTTTGTCACAAATTCCAACAGAGTGAGTGAAAATTCTTCAGTGTACGCACCAACTGTCTCGTGAAATCACTGTACAAGTTGAAAGTAAGTGGGGGGGCCACTAAGAGATGTTGACCAACAGATTGAACACATGTAATAGAGATTCCATTGCAGCTATAATAGGCATGTGTACTGCACCTCTCAAATATGGTTTTATCATACTATGCAATGAGCCAAATCTAAATCCTTCAGACAGGCCCATAAATCATGTAATCAACACAACAGAATACACGTTCTTTCCATGGGAGGCAAGAAATGAATTCAAACCCCCACATCCCATTTAAATTACCTGTGCCCTCTGGCATCGTATTTTAGAAGAAAAAAACATTGTTCTAGCAATTCACATTTTAGTAAAGATACTTTACAATAAGCATTTTCAAACCAAGAATTATATAAATTACAAGCCTATTATATCTATTTGCCTAATCATTACCCATTAATATAGATGTACTAGTATCTTAGGTGTGCCATTGATTAAATATGGCAATTGTCTCATTAATAACAAGAAATCTCATGGGCCAGCTTCACATGTTTGGGATCTCCTTCATACACATATAACATTGTGGCAAGTCACAAGTAAGATAGTAATGCCTTGATTCTGTGAAAACAGATAAAGGAAATTACCTCCTATAAGTTAATTATCTGCCCTTACATTAAAACAAGCTATATCTTAAAATATTATTCCATCTTGAATATCACATCACTTTAGCCAATCACAATTTAAATACATTTTATCGATCAAATTCAATTGAAAAATGGGGTTTATATTATAATTAAGGATAACAGATTTATTTGATTTTGGAAATGAAGATTAGTTATTATTAACATTTCACAAGGATTGATTCAAAGATTGTGTCCCTGATACAAACTGTATTTAAGTTTGCCATCATTCTGAGTAAAAAGTAAGGTTAAAAGGTGGGAATTAGCAAGAAATTAGATAAATCAACTTTAATTGCAACTATAAATAATAAAATAAAAATACTAAAAACTGATACTGGTTAGAAACTAAATGGAATAAGAAAACAAAGCATTATGTTTACCCAGGGGCCGTGCCGCCGTGTTGTCATTAGAAATAGACGGGGTTCTGCTAATTGCTCAGGATTAATTAGTAGGTGACCAGCTAATGAAGATGTCAAATAGAGGTGAGGATTTTTGGTTTAAATAGCAGGAAAGGTGACATTCACATAAAGAGTGTGAAATTTTAGCAAGAACATGATTTTTATTATACTTTTTACATGTTATCAAATCGTAATAGCAACGATGTTACCTATCTTGTAGAAGTCCAAGGTATAAGCATTATTACGGGCCACAAGAAAGTGATATAGAAATATACTTGTATACAAGAAAATCAAAATTCTCAATCAAAGCAATATATCTATATGAGAAATTATAGGAAATGAAAAAATCTGCTATTTATCTATAAATGAACTTTAAACAATGAAAGTCACCTTGCTACATGGCTAATAACCTCAATGAAACAACAATATCATGAAATATGAGAGTAGCTTTCAGTACATTTGTGTAGTAGTATTCTTATATGTAGGCTATCTACTACCTATGAGGTAATTGAACAGTAAAACCTGTCTATGTGGAACATCTTTGGTACCTCTAAAATGTGTTCTACTTGGGAGGTGTTCTACTTATAGAGGTTCATCTAACACGAAGTCAGTTGTTCTTGGGACTCTAAAAAGTGTTCTACTAACTGAGGTGTTCTATTTCACAGATTTCACTATATTTGATTTTTCAAGAATACCATATAATAACATGATAAATTGCAGAAGGTTCTGATTAAAGAGACTGGCAAAATGTCTGACTAGGAATGGTAAACAAAATTTCTCAGAGTGTTAGGTAGATTGGCAACATTTTTGCCTGGGTTTGATAGACTGGCAATACTTCTGGATGTGTTTGTGACTGACAATCAAATAATGCAATATAGATGTTATAAAAGCTTTGAAATATTATTAATGTTTAAAACTGCATATTAAATACTAAATAGCCATTTTGTAGAGATCTTCCCTAATCTAATCAATCTAAAACACTGATTGAAAACTGAATTCAATTAATTTCTGATATCAAGTTATTATTCCTTGTTATTAATCCATTATAAAAAACATCTTAGAGCATCTGTGCAGATTGAATTACTGAATCAATTATCTAATTCATGGATATATCATAAGATCACAAATCCATTAGTGAATATCATGACCTCATTTTACCTTTTCATTCCTCCAGGCACTGAGTTATATGCATTGATTCTATTTGACTTTTTTAGATGCGATATTAATATCTATCTCACCAGAATTATTGTCTTCCAGTAGGTGCAAAATTCTCATATTTTTCATGATTCTTCTCAATTTTAAATAGGTGGAATATCTACTCAAGTTTAAACACAATATACAGCATGTAACATTACATAACTGTATTAATTAGAATTGATTTAGCTTTATACAGTAGTACCCCATGTTTGCTAAGGTTATCTATAAACAAAGAACCCCAAAAAAATATGTGACTCTAGAGGGGGTCAAAAACATAAACAGTTCAAATGAGATGAAACAACAACAGAATGCAAAATGTTCTGAAATTAGCTAGAAGGGAACCCTGTGTATTGATAGTTTAGAACTGGCCAGGGAGATCAATCATGGTAATCTCTCCCCATGTAATCAGCTAATTGTCGTTGAAGTTGCCTCGAGATAATACCAGGCCTGTATAAGATTTCACCTAGCTTTGCATCAAATAAAAATAAAACACACTTTTAGCTAAGGTGATTCTGGGAATAGAGGCAGCCATATATTTATATTAAGGTAGCTCACCATTGGCAGACCAGATGAGGGGGATATAGTCCCAGGGGCATAGCCAGCAATTGTCAAGGGGGTGGGACTTTATGGGTTTGCATCACTGCAAGCAAAGCGAAATGGGAGGTACAGGGATTCACCCCTGGAAATTTTTTAAAATTTATGTTGTATCTAGTGCATTCTAAGCATTTTAAACCGATTTGTTATGTTTTTCAACAAATTTGCCAAAACTGCTTTTTTCTTTTTTGTGGGGGTGGGGGTGCCATCCCATCCATCGCACTGCCCCTGGCTACGCCTATGTAGTCTTGTCTCTCCCCTCTACATCACCACAACAACTTGGGTAAGCAGTGCATAAAAATTTAGGAACATGGGTAAGAGTATGGTATCTGGCAAAAAGTCATAAATATATGTATATATCAAGACACAAGCTATAATGGTAGTGACAATGGGACAATTTATTCATAGATTTCTGCCAACCCAGGGTCATATAGAAGTCAAAATAATTTGAAGATAATTTGTTTTTCTTCTCAGAGCCACAACAGCAACAAGACCACCTGTTGAAATTTTAATGATTTTAATAGATTTTGAATTTTAAAATTGCAGTATGTGAGTTTTAAACACTTTTAACAAACCAAAGCTTTCATAATACAGTTATTTCATGATTATGACAGTACTTGATTGCATTATTGTTATTGTTATATAATTAGTTATGGGGAATGTAGGGAATAGTTGATTTGCTTTGAATGGAAGATATTCTGTTATACAACATATAATTCTTGCAGTTTCACTATGTAATACTTAATGAAATACAATGCAGCAATTGCATTACAATTCATTGAATTAATGAGCCTCGGAAATGAAAACCAAATGAAGCATCTACGGGATATTAATCTAGCATTCTGATATTCTTCACATCTTTCTATTTTCTAACTAATACCAAAAGGAACTGAGAGAAGGCTAGGACTCCTCCAGTATGACCTCGTGTGGCATAGCTTAATCTATCTTTTGTGTTTTATATAACAGTAAATTGAAACACCTCTGTAAGTTGAGCACCTCCAAAGTGGAACACTTTTAGAGGTACCAAAGGTGTTTCACTTATACAGGTTTTACTATAATTGTTTATATTATAAATATCTTAAATTATCACTGGGCCTCTAGGTAGGAAGACCAATTTTTTGTATTGATAAAACTTCCCAAAATAAATATGATCCCCCCCCCTCCTCTAGGGTATTGAGTAATATTACTTATACATATTGTTTTCCCTCTCACATAATCACATAATCTTTAGGAAGTTTATTACCATTTCCATGTTAAAATAATGGTCATTTCCTATAAATATTCGAATATGACCTGTACTGTTAAACCTGAAGGAATCCTTCAGAAATACTCGCATGAATTATAAAATCAATGTACGTGTAGTTGGCAATATGAAGC